TTTGTATTAGAGGTTTAATTAAACAATGTTTTATGTCTGTTGACTAGAGCGGCACATATTTCTACAATGTCTTTTAATTTTGGGTTCGGGTGCTTCAATGTACTCACTACTTTATTTCTTTTCAATTCGCCAATTTGATGTTCAACTCGAATTCGATATTCAGCGACAATGCAATTCAATTTTCGACTCTTTATCTTTAAATTTTCGGCTTACGGTGCCGTCGCTTGTGATCTGCATTTTGGTTAAAGACCCTCATCTTACCCTCCCCCCCCCCCCCCCCCCCCCCCCCCCCAAAAAAAAGAAGAAAAAAATAGCGATCTTTGATCGACTAACAAGGAATCAAATATGAGGGCGAACCATAATGTCCCAAAATTGAATGTGTACACCACGTGACGTGACGATCGGGCGGCATGTGGTACAATCTTCGTTGACAGACTCGTTAATCTAAATACTCATAATCATACATTTTAAGAAGAAATAAAGCAGATCACGATGTGAAATTTATAAATTCAACGTGGTGAAATGTCGTATAAATACATGTAATAAGAATATCATATGAAAGAGTCTAAGAGAGAGATAATATATCCATATTTGTTTGAAATATGTTCTTTAATCAAAATAGTGTATAATAGTAAACGTAGAACTATTCATGAATGATTTCTATTTTTGAGACGACCCCTCCATTTTACCTGTAATAGTAGACCTTTTCAATAACTCTCGACAACGACTAATGACACCTACAGTTTACAGGTAAAATGAAGGGGTCGTCTCAAAACTAAAAATCATTCATGAATAGTATTATTTTTACACCTTCGATTTATCGTTTTACACTATTTTGACGAAAGAACATATTTCAAACAAATATGAACTATATCTCTCTCTTTTGTATAGCATTCTTATTACATGTAGTTTTACGTTGAATTTATTAAACCTTCAAGTAAATAATTACTGCAATCAATTCACATAATCTGCCTTTTTTTCTTCTTAAATTTCATTATTATGTGAGTATTTAGATAAGCGAGTCTGTCAACGCAGATTGTTCCACATGCCAATTGCGATTAATTCGCTTTTGTAATGCTATTTATGAAATTTGCTGAAGCAACATTGTAACAGGACTACCGTCCGTCCGCTAGAGTTGTGTTTCTCAACCGTTCGTCACGTCACTTGTTGTACACATTCAATTTTGGGAGGGGTAAAAGCCTATTTGTTTAAAGGTCAAAGGAAAAGGCCACATCGATAATTTAGTTACGAGAGACTACTCCGCTTTAAGATACCATGTTAAAATTGAGATGTTTCCTACATTAACGGCACCATTTTTTTCTGCGCCACATGCGCATTTTTACAATTAATGTCTCTTCAGTGATGCGTATGGTATTTATATCCCAACAGAGCTTGTTGTCATTGCAGTGTCTTTTTGACAGCGCCGAACTGATTGACCGTTATAGGTTGTCCGTGTCCCGAAAGACGTGAACATACCTTTTTCTCCTGTCGTAGATTCCTTTCCTTTCCTTTCCCTGTTCCTGGAAAATGAACTTCGTGTGTCTTGCAAGAAGCGAGAACTGCTTACCCTTCCCCTTTTCAGGACATAGCTTTGGTCTTCTACTCTTTTCTATTTTTTCCATGCATAAAGGTTTTTAAATTTCATCTCTGACCATACATAGGTGAGATTTAAGATCCCAATTATACTAGTGAAACCCCGCCGCATGTTTTATGCGCCTGAAACAATTACTAAACAAGTTGGTCATTGCAATTGGTAAGTTTTTGTCACAAAAGAATATTTAGTTTACAATTTGATATTTTGACATCATGCTTCGCTGTCATATTTAATTCCTTTTTATTCGATCAAAGATAGTAACTTTGTTTCCTTTTTTTTTTTTTGAGGGAGGGGGGGGGGGGGGGGGGGGGGGGGGGGGGGTGGGGATGGAGATTGGGGTCTTTAACCAAAATGCAGACTATACGGTAACTGAATGTCTGTTTTATATGTTGCATTGTGTGATTTTTTTTCCTACTGCAGAAGTCATAAAAAATAGCAAGAAAACGAAAAAAAAAAGCTTACGATTTAAATCTGAATCTGAATCAGAAGACACCAAGGGCCTTTAAAAATCTTGGTATCTATTTTGTTATGAGTACCATTGAGACATTGGAAGCCAAAATTAACAGACATTATAGAAACATGTACCGCCCTAGTCAACAGATATAAAACATTGATTAATTAAACATCTACTACAAAAATACAGGTATTTTTTTTTTTTTTTTTTTTTTTTTTCATTTTTCAACTCGACGTCTAAAAGAAATGAAACATTGAAGTCCTTCCTTTTCTTCGTAGTCAATTCACAAATAAATTTAGTTTTGATAAACAAATACCTAATAAACAAAATAAGGTACGGTACACAACAATTGCTTATATACACGTCATGTTGGATAGTGGCCTCATTGGCAATCAAAATAATCCTATGCGATCAATAATATTTTTTAATTTTATTTTTTGAGACGACCCCTCATATCTCACATGTCGTAGTCGTTCTCAACTGTAGGTATAGACAATTGTTGAAAAGGTCTAGTACTGATAAAAAAGGGCGGAGACTTTAGTGATGATAATTGACTAGATTCGTTAAACACGCCTTCCAACAGTAAGATATACAGTCTAATCAAAATAAATTATACAGCCTATGCTACTTTCGAGTTTTGACCCTTTAATGATGTGTTTGAAATTGTACAGCATATGCTACAATTTAAAAATATAGCATAGTCAATATTTATGATATAGCATATGCGATAAAAATGCAGCATAACCAGACAAATATATATTGACCCTTTTGGGACGTCAAATATAGCTTATGCTACAAAGCAGTATAAGCTATATTTTATAGCTTATGCACATCTTTTTACTTTTGACCCTTTCCGTATGCCATAGCATGATGTATTTTTTGTTTGTAATAAGAATAAACGAAACAGTCAACCTTGACCTGCTGATCCATACAAGCACATGGATTTAACGGGAATATGCAAAACAACTTTAACATTTGTAAAATATACTCACTTGTCAAAGTTTGAACGAAGATAACAAAAGAAAGGTTACTAGAGGGGTTTCATGTAATAAAAAAATATTCTCATGGTTTGATTTTGTCAATAAATATGCTATCGTTTTTTTGTTTTTTTGTTTTTTTTTTTCATTTAATAATCAATGTTAACAAATATAGGGTTTATAATGGGGTGTAAGTTAGTTACCTCGGGATACGGCGTGTCTGGATAAATACCCCTCCGGCCTCCGGCCGACGGAGTTTCTTATCCAGACACACCTATCCCTCGGTGTATAACTATTACTGACACACCGCGTCCTCGTGGGATAACTATTACATATGACTTAATTAACCAATTATCAGAAAGAAACGGGCGTTTTCATTACACAAACTAGTAAAACGTAGAGAGTAAACAAATACACAATCGATCAATACTCACTGAACCACGAAGAAGTCTTACAATAAATATAACCACTGATGCATGACTAGAAACTACTCATGATAAGTACTAATAGAATTAAAAATATTAATTCATCAGATATATAATATCAAAATATCAAAGTATGATACAAAAACTAAAATATCCAAATTAACATACTACAACATATATATCATGATAAGATTGATAGTTTTTTTGTTTGATTTACGTTCAGTGGCAAGCATTTCATGCATATTCAGGACGCAAACACATTAATAGAAAAAAAACAATATAAAGTGGACCAACTGCGACGGGAAAGAGGTTAAGCCAACTCTCTTTGAATTTGTTTAATACACCATTGCAAAATTTACCCATTAAGTAAGGCCACTTCCTTTTGTATTTATTTCACACCAGTCATTTTTTAAGTCTTCCAAATTTCACTCAAATCAGTGTGACCAGCGGAGTACTTCTGACTTTTCAAAAAAAAAAAAGATTTGCTTTTGAATATTGAAAAAAAAAAAAAAATTGTTTGCACCAAAAATTAAAAAAAAAAGAATGTTTTGAATATCTGACGAAAAAAAAATAATTGTTGTGAATAACAAAAATATACTTTTTCTGGCACGAAAGACGTCTTTTTTTTTTAATTGTTAAGATTCAAATCCTAAGTTTGAACGCGTTCGTCCAGGAAAGTATTTTTTTTTATATCTGAAGTTAAAGGATATGAACAATGTGCTGAAATTGAATGAAGGTGTGGTAAATGTCAATGAGACCATCATTGAACAGGAATACTCCAAATAAAGTTCCCTGTAGTCACAAAAGATTAGATCTTTTGAAAAATCGGACCCTTTATTGGTACAATCATATCGATTGAATACGATCGATACGATCGTGCTCCGTTCATTATATGAAGATACAGTTGAATGGGTTGATTATATTGATCAACTTTAGTACAATCGTATCGATTGAATACGATCGATACGATCGTGCTCCGTTCATAATATAAAGATACAGTTGACAGGGTTGATTATATTGCGGATCGAATACAGTCGACAAGATATTTATGAGGGTAGAAATGCCCTTTACCGTCAGGCGTCAAACGGTAATTTTCGGCTACCGTTAGCGTCAAATTGGTTAAAATTTTACCGTGATTCGTCAAAATATCCTTGTCGTGATTCGTCAGAGGTCTCAAATAATTACCGTTACCGTTATTTTTGGAAACAAATTAACGTGATTCGTCAAAATCAGTCGATTTTTTTATCGTCTTAAAGAAAGTGTACATTTTATCGTCATGCACCAAAAATTACCGTTAACTTCATTTGGCAAGATTTTTTTACCGTTATTCGTCAAGAAGGTACCCCCATTACGACCCTAATTTATGGGATACTATCAAAAAAATGTCGAATCAATCGATTGTCGAAAACTGTATCATCAGAGACATTTATACAAAAAGTATGGAAGGGGCGAGTGATGATTGGGACGAAAACTTGTCTTTCCGTTTTACGGATTTTTTTTCTTCCGAAAAATATTCGAGTTTATTATTTTTGTTTACATGTTGCGTCACACAAACATGGCTGACACCTGGATTTGCGGCGGCAGTTTTTAATTTGCTGTTTTTTTTACTGACATTCTGTCTCAAAATCTCTTCGTGCTATATTTTAGCATTGGTTCCAGAGTCACAGTATTGCTAAATCTGTTTTATTCCCACGTAAAATGTTCCTGGTGTAATTTATACCGTCAAAAACACTTGTGTGACAGACATGTTGAGACTAGTCAAACCGAAATCATCAAGATCAACGGTCTTTCAAATATGATTACATCTTAATTAATTAGACTAACTTTAATGTAAGATTTTGGTTTCTACAACACAAATAACAGACTTAACGGTCATTATTGGGTAAGATTCTATATGTTGTACATAATTTTTTAAATGTTATTTGAATATTTCCTTTCGTGACTTTCGTCCCATGAAATCAGTCATTTCCCTTAAACAGGTTGGGAACAACCCCCTAAATGAGTTATATCCCTTAAATGAGGAACTGTCCCTCAGATAAGGGGTTATTTTACTGCTGTAGAATAGAAAAAAGAATTACTTAGCCTTTTTAATTGAAAAGGGGGAAAATTCATATTTTATATTTGGAACAACTGTAAATGATATTTGAATCCGGGTCCATTTGCTCCCATTCACGCTCCCCCCTTTTCACGTTCGCACCCCTTTTATTGGTTTTGTGTTCAATATAGTGTCAATCGTTTTTTGGTTAGTGTATTGCTATAAATATTTTTTTTGTTCATTGTTTCAAAATGAAGCGACTTTCTATAAACGATTTTTGTGTTGAAATAATTATTTAATCGTGTTTTGGTTTAAAAAGTGACTTTCTAAAAAGGTTTTTTTTTTATTTGTATTGAATATTTTTTTAATGTTAAGATACCTAACCACTATTAAACTCAACAACATTTTGAATCTTCATGGTTTTTACTCATACCAAGCTAAATACATGCTAACTACATGTACATTTTTTGTATGTGCAGAATTTACATCAAAGCTACATGTAGTTAAAACAATCACGATTTTCAAATACATAACAATAACACCAAATTAAGCTGTGTAAACCCCATATAATTAACATATAATAATTAATCATCAAATCAATTTAAAACAATATTTCATTTAAAAATTCCTGAATTTTTATTTATTCAAATAAAAATATTTTGATATAAACATCTAAAAATCATCTAATAATTCATCAGGTTTTTGAATAAAACAAGGGTGCGAACGTGTAGGGTGTGAACGGACCCAGGGGGCAAATGTGAAGGGTTCAAACGTGTATTGGGCGCGAATGGACCTGATACTATAAAATTTAGAATGCATTTAATTATTAGGCATTACTGCTGGTGCTTGACAACTTCAGCAGAGCAGTAAATACATACATGTACATGTAGCTTGTAGCATATTTTCATCATTAAAATTCATCATTTTTTGTTTGTTTTATAAAGTTCCTCCATATTAATGCATGGTATAATCATTTTGTACCCAAATTTACCATTTCCTACCTATGATCAAAACCATGTTGTAACCTATGGGCCAACTGTATTAACCATTTTGTACCTCATGGCATACAAATGTACATATAAATCTTCCATAAGGTACAAAATGGCATATGCGCATACATTTACATACAAATCTTCCATAAGGTACGAAATGGCATACATATAAATATTCCATGAGATATGAAATTACATATATAAATATTTCATAAGGTACGAAATGGCATACATATGAATATTCCATGAGGTACAAAATGGCATACATATAAACCCATGAGGTATGAAATGGTTTTTGCAAGGGTACAAAATGACCAAAATTCCAACAGAACAGCTAAAAAAAAAATTAACATTAAACTGATTATCCATTTGCAGCAGAAAAAAAATAGTGTATACAGTATTGATGCAAGACTATTTTCAAAATGAGCAGCCATGTCCATGAACATGAAGAAATTCAATAATTCAGTTAAAAAATAAATTCAATAGATTAATTCACAAATTAAAAGTCTGTCCTGGTAAATGATGCTCTGACAGAAAAAATGTTAGAAACAACAATACATGTGGTTTTCATGTTTCAATGGTTTTATACTAGTAATTTTTGGGGTTCTTTAAAGCTTGCTGTTAGGTGTGAGCCAAGGCTCTGTGTTGAAGACCGTACTTTTACCTATATTGGTTTACTTTTATAAATTTTGACTTGGATGGAGAGTTGTCTCATTGGCACTCATACCACATCTTCTTATATCTATGTTTCCATTATGCAACATCATTCCGAATCGGTCAATTGATTCAACCTAGGCAAATTATAGTATTCCAAATATATGCCTGTACATTGTACATGTATGCTAAAAATTTACTTTATTCTGATAATTTTTACACCAAACTTTCTTCAAAAAAAAATTTAACATTGAATTAAATATTTTCACCCTAGTTCATGCACCAAAATATTTGAAAAATAATTACTATTTAAATCATTTAATTTTTGCTATTAAAGTAGTGAAGACAATATATAGATATAGGAAGATATGGTATGAGTGCCAGTGAGACAACTCTCCATCCAAGTAACAATTTATAAAAGTAAACCATTATAGGTCAAGGTATGGCCTTCAACACGGAGCATTGGCTCACATCGAACAGCAAGCTATAAAGGGCCCCAAAAATTACTAGTGTAAAACCATTCAAACGGGAAAACCAACGGTCTAATCTATATAAAAACGAGAAACGAGAAACATGTATGAACTACATAATCAGACGACAACTACTGTACATCAGATTCCTATTTTGATACCTTTCAAACAGCTGATAAATATGTATCAACCTGAAACCTCTGACTTGTCTAATACTTACATGTATGTATTAAATATACAATGTATAACTAAGTTTACAAATGTATTTATAGAAAAAGACCAACAATGGAAGAGGAAACTACAGTGACATCTTCGTATGTGTTTCGTGGTGTGGAATATATTGTTACAATGATTGTGCAAGGAGGGAATACTTTGTCAGTAGAAGTGGAAGATAGACTAACAGCTGATCAGTGGAGGGCAACATTCGATTCTGCTTGTAAGAGTGTTAATTCTAATTATTTGTATCCAAATTTTAGCCCTGTACTAGAAGACAAGCCTCTCAAATTTCAGTAAAGAATTGCCGATTTTTCATTACACAAATTACCAAGCTTTTAGTTTCTTAAAGATTGGTGTAAACAGATTTTAAAATTTCAGTTTTGCTAACAATAAATTCTAATACCGAACTATCAAGACTTTGTAAATCTGGTTTCTGAGGCTTCATGTATTTCATTTCTTCCTCCTTTTAGCAAAGTATGTGTATGTACAACATCTATGTGACTGAAGGATAAATATTATAGATAAAACCTGTACATTGCTTTAATGTAAAAAATGTGTAAGAGCAACACCAGGAAACAAAATACTTCTACAATTAAAATATTTTTGTTGTATGAATTTTTTTTTACTACATTTTTAAACAAACTTACAAATGAATATTGTTCATTGTTGAAGGCTGTATGGTTACCAACTGTTACAAACGTGTTTATTATTTACATTTTATGATTTGTTGCTTTGGTGTCAGTTAGCATTAAAAAAAACTGACGGCCCATAATTTAAATTAGTAGAAATACCTAGTTAGTGGCTTCTGAATGAAATCACTGATATTATGCTTTATAATAAAAGGTAATTGCATTAATATGGGTGAATGCTGTTAAAGCTGGTACAATGTATCTGATACTCTATGTGACGATACCCAATATCAATGCAATTACCCTGTATTATTTGGGAATGTAAAATTTAAGAGGGATTTAATTGTTGAATTGTCATTTATTTCAGATATAGAAGATTTGACACATAAAACAGGAAATTTCAAGCAGTTTCATATATTTGTCAGCATGTTAGAATCTGCAGTTACACAGGTTGGTAATGCTGTATTGATGAGGCAAAAAGAAATGTGTTTTTAGGTTGTCTTGTCTGACTCTTGTTTTTGAGCCTCAGCCCTTAATGATTTTTTTTTTTTTTATTACCATGAACATTTCATCCAACAATTCTTTATTTAAATAACTTGTATATAAAACACAGTAAAACACCCTTTGTCAAAATTTATGATAGAACCATGTTTATTTGTTCATTACATAAAAAACAACCAAAATCAGACTTTTAACACATGATCCTTTTCTTAACTTTAGCAAAAACCAAAACCAGATTCCCTATACAAATGTAATACAAGAACTTTACTGTTCAATCTCCACACTTCCCATTGAAATATAATGTACAATGTAGTTTATTCTTCTAGTTGGACAGCAGAAATTTAGAGACAAATAATGCTATATTGTTGTATCTCTACTATTTTTCAGATATTTTTGCTTCAACTTCAATATTATGTTAGTAATACTATGCTTAAATATTTGACATGATTTGAACTCAATCTAGGAGTAACTTGCAGCAAATCAAGCATTACAGAATTTGTTGATATTACAGAATTCCAAAATCCAATAGAAACATAGGAAATAACTTTGAAAAAGTGAATTTTTATACTGTAGTGCTTTATCTCCAAAAAATGGATGCTTTATTTAATTAAGGTGCTTGTTTATTATGTCTCCCAAACGAAGTTTGGGAAGACTTATTGTTTTTGCTCAGTTCTTATTATTATTATTATTCTTCTTCCTCTTCCTCTTCCTCTTCCGCCGCTTTTAAATTTGAACTTGTCCGCACCCGTTCTCCAAAACCGCTTGTCAGATTAACTTAGGGTTTCACAATATGTTAGACTAACATGTCTAGTGGTGCAATCAGGGTTTAGTTTGTGCAATGGGGTTTATAAAGGGATACTTTGAGGGGCAAAAAGAAAAGAGGGTTTTACTATAGAACCCTATGGGATTTTATTTTTTTAAATTTTCAAATGATTATAAATTGAAAACCGTTTGTGATAGACACAATCTTTTTAATTGAAAATGTTCTAAATGATAAAACCCATTAAATAAAATACAGGGTTAGTCCCCAGGGGTCACCCCCACCCCCTACCATTTAAGAAAGTTCTAATACTTTGTAAGTGGTCAAGATCCCCACCCCTAAACCATATATATTCTGGTTTGTCATGCTAAGATGGTTTGAATGATATACAGGGTTAGTCCCCAGGGGTCATCCCAACCCCCTGCCATTTGAGAAAGTTCTAATATCTTGTAAATGGTTGAGATCCCCACCCCTAAACCATATATATTCTGGTTTGTCATGCTAAGATGGTTTGAATGATATACAGGGTTAGTCCCCAGGGGTCACCAAGACCCCCTGCCATTTGAGAAAGTTCTAATATCTTGAAAATGGTCGAGATCCCCACCCCTAAACCATATATATTCTGGTTTGTCATGATAAAGCACATCAAATGAAATACAGGGTTAGTCCCCAGGGGTCACCCCACCCCCTGCCATTTAAGAAAGTTCTAATACCTTGTAAGTGGTCAAGATCCCCACCCCTAAACCATATATATTCAGGTTTGACTTGCTAAGATGGTTTGAATGATATTCAGGGTTAGTCCCCAGGGGTCATCCCGACCCCCTGCCATTTGAGAAAGTTCTAATATCTTGTAAATGGTCGAGATCCCCACCCCTAAACCATATATATTCTGGTTTGTCATGATAAAGCACATCAAATGAAATACAGGGTTAGTCCCCGGGGGTCACCCCCACCCCCTGCCATTTAAGAAAGTTCTAATATCTTGTAAGTGGTCAAGATCCCCACCCCTAAACCATATATATTCTGGTTTGTCATGCTAAGATGGTTTGAATGATATACAGGGTTAGTCCCCAGGGGTCATCCCGACCCCCTGCCATTTGAGAAAGTTCTAATATCTTGTAAATGGTCGAGATCCCCACCCCTAAACCATATATATTCTGGTTTGTCATGATAAAGCACATCAAATGAAATACAGGGTTAGTCCCCAGGGGTCATCCCGACCCCCTGCCATTTGAGAAAGTTCTAATATCTTGTAAATGGTCGAGATCCCAACCCCTAAACCATATATATTCCTATTTGTCATATCCCGAACATTTGAATGACGTATACAGTCAGTCCCCAGGTGTTCCCCCCACCCCCAATGTTCTTATATCTTGTAAATAGTTGAGATCCCCACCCCTAAACCATATATATTCCTGTTTGTCATGTAACGAACATTTGAATGACGTATAGGGTCAGTCCCCAGGGGTTCCCCCCACCCCAATGTTCTAGTATCTTGTAAATGGTCGAGATCCCCACCCCTAAACCATATATATTCTGGTTTGTCATGCCAAGATGATTTGAATGATATACAAGGTTAGTCCCCAGGCATCACTAATGCATATAACTTTACTGGACCAAACCAATTTTCACTGGACTTTGCCCAATGTCAGGCGACCCTGGGAATTACGAATTATGGGAGCTTCGTTTGGGAGACTTCGTAACAGCATCCTGTTACAATCATTTCTTGTTCAAAATGCAAATAAAGAGTTGCTCTTCAAGTCCTTAAATTTGATTTCTACATAACTTTCTATATCTCGGTCAGATATTTATGATATTGGACTTTTTAACTTTATATTCAATTTCCCAACATTTTAAAAAAGTGGGAGTTATATCATTATAATACTTTAACAACATAAATTGGTATTTAGGTAAATCATATTCAAAATGATAGCCAATCATAAATATGGTGCATGGTGTAGAGAGTGCCACACTCTTACATGTATGTGTTAGAGAAACTTCAGAACTCGAGAGAGAAATGTGAAGTGACATTTTACAAGGCAAAATACCTGCAGCTTTCCGATATGACCCCCTTGCAGAATCTACTTGAAATGATTGTTAATTTATTTCTTGTCAAGAATATGTATGAATATTTGCCACTAGAAGTAAAGCGAACAACAATAAATCGGTCAAAATGGAAATATAATTTACTGATTAATGGAAGGTGCTACAGAATATAGTCCCATAATACAAACTGGGAAACAGAGGCTGATCCAGGGGTTGGGATGCAAGGGGCCAGTCTCCTTTATAGTAGAAAATACTTATTTGTTGTTTGACCTTCTGTCAATATCCACCCACTCACCATATATATATATGTATGTTTACTTTTGTTTTGCAATAAATTTTTCTTCTTATATTTTTCAGTCAAGTGAAAGTGTTTCATTAGATTTATTGACATATGCTGATTTAGAATCATTACGACAAAGGAAAACTGGAAGTGTTCCAAAATCTAATGTTCCTCATGGTAAAACAGTGTCTTTGAACTCTAAACGCTACCTCATTGTAACATACACTGTTGAATTTGATAGAATACATTATCCTTTACCATTGCCATATATGGGAAAACCAGATCCCAGAGCCTTACAAGAAGTTATAAGACAACAAAGGTCAGAAATAAAAGCTTTCAGACAACAGGTAGGTTATAACACTATTGGGTTATATGTTAGTGCTTTCCTGGTCATCCATCCAAAAAAGTTGAATTACCTCCTTTTGAACTACTATCCTATGGGAACCTTGAATTGGTAGACATAACTCTTTACCTTCATCATTATCATATTTTTAATCAATGGTTTTTAACACTAATTGTAAATAGAAATTTCCAGAAAAAATGTTAAAAATTTATTATTATTCATCCGTCTGACAAATTTTTACTAATGTTCCAGAACTTCCTCAACTGATTCACTTTTAAAGTAGACTTAGGTCATGGTCTATTTGGGGTCATTTTCCATAGTTTGTGATGAGGTCAATTGAAAGAAACACCTATAACAAGTCAATGATATTTTGAATGCAGTTGCATTAGTATTGGCAAATCTTACATCTCAGAAATTATATTGCCCTGTTCCTTCAGTCATGGACTTTAGTATTTTTTCATAATTAATATGTTAAGAGTTTTTTTTTTTTTTTAATTTCAGCATTTGCATTTTACTATCAAAACTATATAAAGGCAAGACATATCTCTGTGACAACAGTTTATTTCAATTTTTTGACATATAACACTTTGTGAATTCAATTCCTCTGAGACAATTTTACAGAAATGTATCTCATACTTGATACTACTACTGCTTGCCATTGTGTGTAGTTGACAAATTTATACAGCCATTTTGATTTGACCATTTTTACTGGACCGTAGGAAGGTCTTCCTTTGGGCAATCCTGACACCCCAAGGTGTGTTATACGACAAGAAAAATCTTAAAATATGCATTATCTGACTTATATGCCGTCAAAAATCATTATTTTCTGGAAAGATTTGAGGGAAATTGTATCCCATTGTACCGATCACATTAAAGTAGGCCCCCCAAGGGTGACTGGGGAATAGAAGTATGGTCACCATTGGTCTTCCTCCGACCGGCAGTAAAACCCGTGCTAAAGTGGGGCGTCCGTTTGGCTGTGCGGGATGTACAAATTTGCAGCCAGGTCCGGTCAGAATGGGGACGTTAAATCCGATGCCTCGTGTAAAGAGAGTGCCACGCCCTTTGCACGTTAAGAACCCTTGCAACAACTCATTGAGGGGTCCGTAGGTGACCTGTTGCAAGGCTAAATTTCTGTCCCTATCCAATATACCCTCATTTCCCGTGGCAGTCTAAATTTCTCCGACCTTAATCCCTTAATCTTTTACAGAACCTACCTATTGTATTTATTGTGAACTTGTTCTCGTCCTGAATATGCATGAAATATTTGCCACTGGACGTTAAGCAACCAACAATCAATCAATCATTAAAGTGGGATATTCTTTTCTCATGCGTTTAGGTATGACAATGCCCCACAGCTCAATTATAAGGTGAAATAACTCACTAATCTAGATATAAACATTAGTTATCACTGTCCAGTTAAATCACAATTGTACTGTAATTGCACGAACCAAGAAATAATATCAATTGTTTCGGTATGTGAAAATACAAGTCATGCACTTTGTCAGTAATTTATTATATTACATAAATTTGTAACTTTATAATAGGGGGTGTTATGTTTTTTCTCTGGTTTTGTGACATTTTTACCGAGAAAAACAAATTAATTTTTCAACAATTCAAAGAAACTTAACTTTTTTTTTAAAAATGAGAATCAGGATAGAATTTTATATAATTCTATATCGCATAATTGTGCGTAAAATCCCTGTTCTTGTTTTAGTATTTTAATCTAATAAATGGAGTAAAGGATTGTTTCTGTATAAAACCTTAAAGGAATATTTAATGGTATAGAAAACCCCCGATTGACAACTATCAAATGATGTTTAAAAAAAACATGTAGTTTGCATTTTAATCAGGGTAAATAATGACCATTATTTTAGGCCTTGAAGCACTTATCATTGAAACTTGGTATCATCTGGGTTGATTCTTCAAAAGAATGACCTATCGTTCTGAAAGAAAATAACTCGATATAGGTATATAATGTAACAATAACACCTTGTGAACGCAACTCCTCTTTTGTGTAGTTGACGGTGGCATAAACAATTTGTTTAAGTTTGTGATTAGGTCAGTTTGAGGGGAACCACTTTGAGTATTTTGCATAATTTACATGTTGAAATATCGCTATTTTATACCATTTGCATTTTACTATCAAATTATATACCGTCGAGACATATCTCTATGTCAACAGTATATTTATGTTGTTTCATATTCAAAATGAAAGTTGTAGATAATCATAAAATTGAGAATGGAAATGGGGGAATGTGTCAAAGAGACAACAACCCGACCATAGAGCAGACAACAGTCGAAGGCCACCAATGGGTCTTCAATGCAGTGAGAAACTCCCGCACCCGGAGGCGTCCTTCAGCTGGCCCCTAAACAAATATGTATACTAGTTCAGTGATAATGGACGTCATACTAAACTCCAAATTATACACAGGAAACTAAAATTAAAAATGATACAAGACTAACAAAGGCCAGAGGCTCCTGACTTGGGACAGGCGCAAAAATGCGGCGGGGTTAAACATGTTTTTTTGAGATCCCAACCCTCCCCCTATTCCTCTAGCCAATGTAGAAAAAACAAACGTACAACAGTATGCACAGTAAAACTCAGTTTAAGAGAAGTCCGAGTCCGATGTCAGAATAGGAAACAAAAGAAAATAAACAAAATGACAATAATACATAAATAACAACAGACTACTAGCAGTTACTGACATGCCAGCTCCAGACCTCAGGGCTCGACAATAACGCTTGTCCGATTGTCTGGTACCAGAGGGAAAAAGGGTCGGACAAGTAAAAACTGTATCAAGCTTGTCCGACGGGACAAGTAAAATTATTCTGCAGAAAGTAAATTTAATCCAACTTTGATGAACAAAGTAATTATAAACAAAAAACAAGAAAAGATGATGAAAACAAGACATGTTTACTTGCAAATCGATAATTTAAAACTGGTTCTTTGTCAGGTACTTTTTAACAGGTAAAATGCATACTATTCTCGGAAACCAGTCTTACTGATCTGAATCAGCGATGCGATGCGCTTTGTAGATAAGGTAACTTTACAAGACAGTTCGTCACAAGCTCAGAAACGATTCGGCTCCAAGTTTAACATGTTTAATAGACAGTTTGGCACCATAGGAGACATATTTAATAGACATGATTAGTAGACAGTTTGGCAACGCAGGAGACAATTCGGGACCAAGACAAATCAGTACCACATTTTCCTACCTTATTCTGTTGCTTTATAATAAATAACATACCGGTAATTTTTTTAACAAAAATATTTTTTAGATAAAAATGAAAAATTATTTACCATTAAATTCACAAAATCATATTTGATCATATGTAGAAAAAAACAATACTTGCAATACGGTGACCTATAGTTGTTAATTTATGTGTCATTTGGTCTCTTGCAGAGAGTTGTCTCATTGGCAATTATACCTCATCTTTTTTTTTTATTGATTGCATTTGAATAAACTTTTTTCAACTTTAAAAAAACCAGGATACAAATCCAATGAGTGTACATTGACAGCCCTATCAGACGCTGTCTCATGTGCAGAATCTGATGAGACTTTGGCATTGATGAACTACATGTAGAACCTAAGTCCTGTGACATGACTAGATTCAGTTGTATTCGACTCATATTTTTGAATAGTATTTCAAAAGATATAAATCAAATTCTGTTCTATTGTTTTAATTCATTTTGTTCCTTGAATCAACTTAAAATGCAAAAAAGGTTATTATTAAGATTTTTTTGGACAAGTTACAATTTCATTCGGACAAGTAAGTTTTGGTATGTACTTGTCCTACTGGACAGGTTGAAAAAAAAAGTTATTGTAGAGGCCTGGACCTCAATTAAACTGATTGAAAGATTATGTCTTCATCATATGAATATCAGGCACAATCCCTCCTGTTAGGGGTTTAGTATTATACCATCATAAAATATATGAGAAGAACATAACCCGTGTCATGCCAACAACTGGTTTTAGAATAAATATGTTTAATTCCGATGCAAAGACCCTATAAGTGAATCAATATTAAAGCCAAAATATGCAATCTTTAATGACCTGACAACAGTATCGTAACTATATCCCTTCTTAATAAGTCTGTTTAAAGGTTTTGTTAGCTTTTGAGGTGAATACTGACATTTTTGTGCTTTGTAAAGAATATTACCATAAAAGATTGGATGTGAAATACCCGAACGTATAAGATGTCTGCATGTTGAGTTATATTTAAGAATGATGTCCTTATACGGATGATAAAATTTAGTAAATGTTTTGACTAGTTTATGATATCGAAAACCCTGGTGTAATAATTTTTCAGTAATACATAAATTTCTCTCGCTAAAATCTAATACGTTGTTACATACACGATCGAATCGTACAAGTTGAGATATATAAACACCATAAGATGGTGATAAGGGAACGTCACCATCTAAAAATGGATAATTAACGATAGGAAATGAAAAATCATCTCTTTTATCATAAATTTTTGTATTAAGCTTCCCGTTAATGATATAGATATCAAGATCGAGGAAAGGACAGTGGTCATTGTTAGTATTAGCTTTATTTAAAGTAAGTTCATCAGGATAAATTTCTTTAGTATACATACTGAAGTCGTCATTATTGAGAGCCAATATATCATCCAAATATCTAAAAGTATTGTTAAATTTTTGTATCAGATGTTGTTTCGATGGGTCTTTGCTGATTTTGGTCATAAATTGTAACTCATAACAATACAAAAACAGGTCCGCAATAAGTGGTGCACAGTTGGTCCCCATTGGAATTCCGATAACTTGACAATATATGGAATCTCCAAAGCGAACAAAAATGTTATCAAGTAAAAATTCAAGGGCAGATATAGTATCAAAGCATGTCCAATTGACATAGTTCTTTTGTTTGTTGCTACTAAAAAATGACCTAAAAGAGTTTGAACATATGTATTCGCATTCCGACTTTTTAAATGCCACTTTAATTAGGTGTGTGAATTTTTTCTTAATAAGAATATGAGGCAAAGTGGTATATAGGGTAGAAAAATCAAAACTTTGAACAGATTCAAAATCACCAATATATGCATGCAATTTATCAAGTACTTCCAACGAGTTTTTGACACTCCAAAAGCAGTTAATTCCACTATTTTCAAAGGCCTTATTTGAACAATTTATTATCAGGTTTTTGATTGTACCAAGTGTACTAGTAAGTAGAATAGATAATTTAGTAGTGGAACAATGACTTGAAGACGAAATAAATCTATATTTGTAAGGTGATTTGTGTAGCTTCAGAAGCCAGTACATAGTTGGGACTTTCATTGTATTTGGTTCTGCTTGTAAAGAAGTAGCTAATAGTTTATGTTTGTTACAGATATCGTTTTCTGAAAATGAAGTCAGTTGGAATGTTGGTGAATTCGTGATTTCCTTTTGCAGAACCTCAATGTAAAATTTACATCAAACTATAATGATATTATTAGCAGCTTTATCAGCCGGGACAAAAACAAATTCCTTGGCTAGTTCTTTTAGTTTATGTTTGATACGAGAAACAGGATTTTTATGGTTGTTGTTAAGAGTAAAATGTTCTTTAAAATGTTGTATACGTATATCAACTATCTTCATTACTGAATTAAAAAAAGAGTCCAAAGATTTTTTGTCAGCTTTTTCCCGTTTTATCCATTTCAAACAGTAAGCACGAAGTGAGTCGTGGATGATATTACGACACTCATTCCAATTAATAATTGACGGGGACGATATTTAGGTCCTTTACTGAGAAATGATTTTAACTCTCGGTCGCGAACGACGTTAAGGTCTCCTGTTATAACATGGGAAATAGGCCCATAAGTGTATTCAGAATTACTACAATTACATGACGGAGGTGTATTTTCACTGATATGTATATTATACTAATGTTGATTTTGTTTTTGTAGGGTGGTAGTGGTGAACATAAACATGGTCACAGAGAATTTGAAAAGTTACAAAAAGAGTGAGTTATAAACTGAATGTTTAATTTATATGCATTGTATATTTACCCATGTATTTCAAATTGGTCAGGTTAGGATAAAAGTTATCTCTATAGATCAAGATGTGAAACATTATCAAAACCTGTATATTACAGTGTTTTCACATAGTTTACTGAAAAGAGGAAAAAAGAAACAGCTAAGTTTTTGTTCATAAATATCTATAGTCATCTGGCTGCAAAACAATACTTATATTATAATATAGTCAAACCTTTGCATAAAGGGCACCCAGGAGAATTAACTCTAAACAAAACATTTAATGTTTTCAATTTTCTTTAAAATAATAAATCTTAGGATCTCCCAACTTTTTTAGCTCACCGTTCTGAAGGAACGGTGAGCTTTAGCCATCACTTGGCGTCCGTCGTCTTCCTCCGTCGTCATCGTCGTCCGTTTCGTGTAAACTATTTCAAACATCTTCTCCTCTGAAACTACTGAACCAATTCTAACCAAACTTAAGCTGAATGATCCGTAGGGTATCTAGAATAAAGTTTGTGTTTTATTTTCTGTTTTGTCAAAAAACATGGCCGCCATGGCTAGAAATAGAACATAGGGGTAAAATGCAGTTTTTGGCTAATATATCTCAAACACTTAAGCAATTAGAGCAAATCTGATGAGAGGTTAAAATGTTCACTAGGCCACTATGGCTAAAATGGAACATAGGGGTAAAATGTATTTCTTTGCTTTTGAAGAAAATATGACAGATACAAAGAACATCTCAATGGAATTTTTAAGCCACTCATTAATATATATTAAAAAGCAAAAATAATCATTGATGAAAGATTTAAGCAAAAAATTACAGGTGAGCGATTCAGGCTCTTGAGAGCCTTTTGTTTTTTATTTTTGGATCTGTGATACAAAGAGGAAAGAGGTTACTCATTAAGGTTCTTTCATTTAATCAACAGAATAATGAGACAGCATATTTTAGATATGGGTCACTTTTGTTTCAGTAAGGTTCTGATTACTTAGTGTGCTGATTTGGCATATACATATTTCTATATCAGTTTTCTAGTATATCTTCAATATATATCTAGTATCTCCATACATTCATAATGTGAATGTTTTCTCTCACTTGATTTCTTATAACTAGTTCCTTGTTATGAAAATACAAAATATAATAGAGTACGAATTTTTTCAGCTACAATCTGATACTTAAAGAGAAAGAAGAGTTAGAGGCTGAATTTCTTCATTTCCGAAGAGAAGTAAAAACTACCTCTACAGGAAATGCTGTCAAAGAGATTAGAATACTTAAAGCTCTTACTAAAAGTTTAGAAGAAGACTTAATGAAGGAAAAAACAAGACACCAAAGATCAACAACCAAACGTAGTCAAGAATATAGAGATTTACTGGAGGAAGTAAGTTATTAAACACATACAAAACAATACTTCTCATAAAAAGAGTAAGGAAATACAGTAAGGTTTTCAAAGACTCTCCACCAAATCCATAGTGATTAGAAGTATTATCTTTATAAAAATAAGAAGATGTGGTCTGATTGCCAATGAGACAACTTTCAACCACAGTTCAAATGAAGTGGATGTAAGCAATTATGCAACCATACGGCCTTCAACAAAGAGAAAAACCTTGTTTGGTATAATTTTTGCTGGACTATTCATTGATGTTGTTAAGAACATACAATTTATTCATCAGAGTTTCAGTAAGAATTGAATATTATACTAAAGGAATACAAGTATAACCATATTAATAAATAATGTATGGGATACTACATGAAAGTGCATCAATAATTTTGTATAAGAAAGAAAACCCACAAATATTCACTCTGTGGTTAAAGTTTTTGAAATTTTAATAACTTTATTAAACTATCCTGGATATCTACCAAACTTGGACAGAAGCTTGTTTATGATCATAAGATAGTATCCAGAAGTAAATTTTGTAAAAATGAAATTCCATTTTTTCCGTATTTTACTTATAAATGTACTTAGTTTTTCTGCCGGGAAATATTACATTCACTCTGTGGTTAAAGTTTTTAAAATTTTAATAACTTTCTTAAACTATCCTGGGTTTCTACCAAACTTGGACAGAAGCTTGTTTATGATCATAAGATAGTATCCAGAAGTAAATTTTGTATAAAAAAAAAATCCATTTTTTCCTTATTTTACTTTTAAATGGACATAGATTTTCTGCCAGGAAACAACACATTCACTCTGTGGTTAAAGTTTTTAAAATTTTATTAACTTTCTTATACTATTTTGGATTTGTACCAAACTTGGACAGAAGCTTGTTTATGATCAAAAGCTGGTATCTAGAAGGAAATTTTGTAAAAAAATAAAACCATTTTTTTCCGTATTTTACTTTTAAATGGACTTAGATTTGCTGCCAGGAAACAACACATTCACTCTGTGGTTAAAGTTTTTAAAATTTTGATAACTTTCTTATACTATTTTGGATTTGTACCAAACTTGGACAGAAGCTTGTTTATGATCAAAAGCTAGTATCTAGAAGGAAATTTTGTTTTCTTCCAGTTAACATTACATTTAGTCTGCAGTTAAAGTTTTTAAACATTTATTAGATTCATAAACTATCCTGGATTATTACAAAACTTGGACAGAAGCTTCTTACAATCAAAAGATAATATCAAGAGGAATATTTTTATTGATTTACTTCCTCATTTTTGTTGAGCCTGCGATTAACAGAAAAAGTAGGCGAGGCACTGGGTTCCGCGGAACCCTTACGAATTTTTAATTATTTTTTTTTACAAAAACTAAGATTGCAACCCCTATGTGCAAAGATGATCTTAAAAGGTTTTAGCCTCCTTTAAAGGTGCCATTTGGTTATGTAATTTTAATGCATTTATACATCTTTGGCCTTCCCAAATTTTGGCTCTGTGCATTCCAGATGATGATGCAAGGTTTATATAGAATGCAGTAAGATAAGTATGCTTTACTTTAATCCATGACCTATATAGTCGACAAGAGAAAAAATTCTAAGACAAATAAAAGAAAAGAACATATGGGCTTAATAACCTGAGTGATTACTTGCAGAAATTATATGGTGGGGTTACACAATTTTATGTGTGTATAATATGCAAGTTTTTACTCCACAAAGTTTAAAAAGCCAGGCAGGGATGCAAATTATAGAGTCCTTCAAGCAAGAGATTTCACAGTTTTTGTCTCGCCTTGACAGAGTCAAAAAGCGAGACATAGGTATGCTGTTTCCGGCGACGGCGGCAGCGTCAACAATGTATTAGTTTGTGATTAGATCTAGTTCATGGTGAACCACTAGTGGTAGGTCAATGATATTTGGTATGCAGTTGTATTAGCATTGGCACATCTCATTACCATGGAGATTATTTGGCCCCGCCCCCTCAGTCAAGGTCTATTGACTTTCAAACTTTTCATAGTTTACATGTATTAGTTTGTGATTAGGTCAATTTATGGGGAGCCACTAGTGGTAGGTCAATGATATTTGGTATGCAGTTGTATAAGCATTGGCATATCTCATTTCCATGGAGATTATTTGGCTCCGCCCCCTTAGTCATGGTCTATAGACTTTGAAAATTTTGCTAAGTTAACATGTATTAGTTTGTGATTAGGTCAGTTCAAGGGGAACCATTAGTAATAGGCCAATGTTAATTGGTGTTCAGTTGTATTAGCATTAGCACATCTCATTTCCATGGAGAATATTTGGCCCCGCCTCCTCAGTAATGGTCTATTGACTTTGAAACTTTTTCTAAGTTTACATGTATTAGTTTGTGATTACATCAGTTTAAGATGAACTGCTAATGTTAAGTCAATGATATTTGGTATGCAAATGTATTGGCATTTGCAGGTATCGTTGCCATGGAGATTATATAGCCCCCACCCCTGATCATGGTTCATTGACTGAAACTTTTACATAGTTTACAAGTTAATGTTTGTGTTTAGGTTTGTTTAAAGGGAACGACTTATAATAAGTCAATGGTATTTGGTATGCAGTTGTATAACATTGGCACATCTCATTCCATGGAGATTGTTTAGCCATGTACCTTCAGTCATGGTTCATCGACTTTGAATATTTGCATAACTTACATGTTAAAGTGTTGCTATTTTAATTTCAACATTTGCATTATCAAAATTAAAAAAAGGCGAGACATATCTCTATGATAACAGTTTATGGTAATATTCTGTCATGTTTGTTCTTGACAAAGTGGCGGGTGCCCTTATTTCTTTAAAAATCTTTAATCATTTAATATTTCACCCAATTTATATTTATATGCAATTTCAGTAAAAAAAGCCATAATCTTGCTTAGTGTTTGAAAGATGGCTTCCATTGTTGCTTAAGGTTGTAATGGTTAATGATTTGGCTGGGGTGAAAAATACAGGCTCCTGGGAGCCTTTAGTTTACAAAGTAACATTTTCCCAAATCAAGTTGCTGAATTTTTCCTTTCTGTTCTCTAACTTAAGTTTGCCTCAACCAAATGTTATGAAACTTATACACAATGCTCATTACTACAAATCTCAGATCGAGGTCGAATTTAGGTGGCGTCACTTTTACCGTTCTTGAGTTATGTCCCTTTATAACATTATATGCAAGCGAGGGTATCATCTGTGTCCCATGGACACATTCTTCATTTATTTCTTCAATAAAAAAAGTACACACTTGTTTAAATAATTTTTTCATTCATTATGCTATGATAAGGTATTAAAGTAAAAATCAAAATGTGTTTTTTTGAAATGTGTTAAGAAAGACCTTTGAGGAATATAAATATTTTTATTGACTACTTTTTTGGGGTAAAGGGTAATTTATTAAAGTATTTCCCCTGCAGAGGAGACATACTCCACTGATGTGTGTGAAAATAAAACATAGTCATTTATGGAAACATTTTTTCTTTCTTTTTAAAGGTTGAAGAACTGAGGGCATCAGAGAGAAACCTTAGAATAAGAGTGAAAAGTTTAACAAATGAGTTAGCAGTATATAAAAGGTAGAACAAGTGTATAACATTATTACATATACGTCATACTGGATTTTTATTGAGCCTGCAAAATAGTATTTAAAGAAAAAAAAATGTGTTCTTGTATGTAATTGGAAAAAAGGCTCAGCTCTGTTGGTATTTTTGTCTCGCCTTGACGGTTGCGTCGTTGTCAACAATGTATTTGTTTGTAATTGTGTGAGTTTATGGGAAACCACTAGTGGTAGGCCAATGATATTTGGTATGCAGTTGTATTAGCATTGGCACATCTCATTTCCATGGAGATTATTTTGCCCTACCCCCTCAGTCATGGTCTGTTAACTTTGAAACTTTTGCTTAGTTTACATGTATTAGTTTGCAGTGTTCTCCCCAGGATTTTTTGATAGCGCTGTGGTAAGTGTTTGTGACGTAACATTTGTACTGTCATGTTGGTTAATAGTATTTAATAGACAAAAACCTGGTTATTTTTAATACATATATGCATTTACAGGTATGGAATTAAGTAACTTTACATTTTCTTTAGCATTGAAAATTAAAATAAGCAGTTTGATTTGATACCAGACCCCAATCCCCCTTTAATTTTAAAGATTAAGTTTTTTTCACAGTAGGTATATTATTTATTCACTTTTAGTTGTTTCACATATATTTAGATATTATTTTACAACACCATAATTTACTGAGACATTTTTAAAGAAAGACTTTAATAACAAACTTTTATTTTAAATGGATATCATACATCTTTCAACTTCAATCAACATGTACAATCGGTAAACTATTTCATATCAAAGATAAAAATAAATACCCTTTCCTTTCCAAAATATTATTTTATTAAATATCTTATTGTTATTAAAGACATGTTAAAAAGAGGCTAACATATTCCAAGATTCATCCGATAAAATCTGTTTTTAAAGGAACAAAATTTTCCTTTTTTATTTTTAAGGTGGGTTTATCAATAAAGAATGCTATTTGACAATTAAAATATTAATAACCGCTACCTTTTTAGATTTATTATGTAAATAATTGCCATCAGAAATATGTGACAAGATTTGACAATACTGGTTGTAGTACATTTTCCCACCAAATGTGTCTCCCTTTAGTTACTTCCTGTTTTGACAATGGCTGAATGTTTCTAGGATTCATTAAATGCAATTTTAAATCCAAGCAATCCTCCTTTAATATTTTATTTAAAGAATTATTATTACTTCCTATTGAAAATTGGTTAGAAATCTCCATCTTTTTTTTTATCAATTTATGCAGAATCATGTTTTGTTTATTCTCTATCAAATTTAGTAAATAGCAATGCAAGGACAAGTTATCATCAAATATGAGCTTGCAATGAAGCCATGGACAACTGAAATGCATCTTATGAAACAATGCAGATTCAATAATGTAGGTCTAAACACTAAAGAGAAATGAAATAATCGTAGATGCTTCAAAAGAGGGACTAGAAAACGTGTTCAGAGTAAGGATAAACTCGAGTGTATTTCCACACCTTTCATGAAATTTCTGTTTCTTTTTATTCTTTAAAATTATAAACTCAAGAAAGAAATAAGTCTTCAAGACAGTCAAAGTTTTGGCAATGACTCCATTTCGTTATTTCATGGAACTGGTCCCTCCGATATTTAAATTGACATCGTTAGGTAAAATAAACAGTCTCAAACAAAACAACCAGGCGATAATGTGAATGAAATTTTACAGGTAAACATGGGAATTTGGGAATTTGAAAATTGTAAATCAAATAGCGCTGTTTTGTGATTGGATACCGCTGTGGTCTGTCCCAATACCACATAGCTGAATACTGCAGCGCTAAAACGGCCTGGGGAGAACACAGAGTTTGTGATTAGGTCAGTTTATGGGTAACCACTTGTGGTAGGTTGATGATATTTGGTATATAAGTTGTATAGCATTTGCACATCTCATTTTTGTGGAGATTATTTAGCCCTGCCCCCTCAGTCTTGAGAAATTTTGCTTAGTTTACAGGTATTAGTTTGTGATTAGGTCAGTTATTGGGAAACCACTAGTGGTAGGTCAATGCAATGATATTTGGTATGCAGTTGGGGCAATATGCGTAATTGATTTTCCATAGGCGGTAATGGTAACATTTTCCTCTGTAGCACAGTCCATAATGAAACTTGGATATGCATGATGGCTCATTTCGAAGCTGAGACATTTTCATATATGTTGTTAAATTTTCGGAGTACGAAGTGTGATTCATTTTTCTGTAAATTAGCACACCCTGAAAATTCTTTCGTGATGCGGCTCCTGGTGGTAAAAAAATCTCTTTTTTCACACAATAAGTTCTTTGAAAATTTAATACTTTGCATACATTTAATAACTCCATAGTTTTTACACATTTATTCTATGGTCCTCTACTTTTAAAATCAACACAAATGGTAAAACTTAGTCACTTGTCATGCTTGTTAAAAATAGAAACATGTCCAATATCACTACACAGAGATTTTTTGTTTACATACAACTTTTGTGTTCCTCAAATTGAGGCGCATTAGGGATATTGACCCAGTTGTATTAGAATTGGCACACTTCATGTCCATGGAGATTCATAGACTTTGAATATTTTGCATAACTTACAGGTTAAAGTATTGCTATTTTAATTTCAAAATTTGCATTTTACTATCAAAATATCAAAAAGGCGAGACATATCTCTGTGTTAACAGTTTATTTTGATAAAGTCTAGAGTTGAAGTTATTAAAACATCAATAAACTTTGTTAAACCTCCATGTAATTTCATGAACCTATAACAGATGCTTCTTCATAATTAAAAGTAAAATTTTATTTTTCCCCTTTTTTTCAATATTTTACTAAAAAATTGACATATTTAGTTTTGCACTTAATTTTTACGGTTTGTCTATGGTTTAAAATTTTGTCAAACCTTCATAATCAAAAGCAATAGCACTCTGAACACAAAAAAATATTCATTTTATTGTATTTTGTGTGTTTTTTGGCAGTCATTGTCACATTTTAATACTGTTTGCAGCAGGTACAGGCAAGATACAGGGTTCAATCAAACCCTTTTACAAATTTTTATTCACATAATTATAGATGCAATATTTGTATTTTGTAGAGATAGAATCAGACCACCACCTCAGAGATCATCACGACCTCCAATAAGGGAAAGGTATAATTCAAGGGAAAGATCAATATCAAGGGAGCGGTCATTATCTAGAGACAGATCATGGTCAAGTGATCGTTTGTCAGTAAGGAATTCATCATTAAATAGAGAAAGAAGATCTTCAAAAGAGAGACCATCATCAGCTCCTGATAGAAGTAGATTAAGCGACAAGTCATCTTCTTCATTTAGGAATAATATACATAGACCAAGAAGTAGAACTCCATCACCTTCACCGGCTGGTAAAATTAATCTTAGATAAAACAATTAAATAAAACCATAAAACAAAATTGTTACTGTCTGGTATTGTTATAAATACTGCATTTCATGGATTCTTATTATCAAAACCCTACAAAAGTTTCATTTGCTATTTAATCTTCTCCCCCACCCTCCATTATTGCTAATTTATATCTTGAGAGTTGCAGGAATAATGATATCATATCTTACTGCAGCATATGGACAACCCCTATCCTGGATTTAAACAGTTCTCTTTAGTATTCAGTAATAACTGATATTCATGGCATTCATTTAGATTCAGTGGTTATAATTTTATTTCGATTTGGAACTTGTTTTTAACAATACTTAGTTTTATAGTTGTATCATTTATTCCTATTAAAACATATAATATTTAAGTATGTTGAATATTTAAACTTTAATAACCTCTTCCAACAATAGTAGTGAAAAAAATCACTGTTATATGTACTTGTTTATCTATATTTATTAAATTTTTCAACTATAACTAATAAAAAAAGTTGATTCATAAAAGAACATCATTAGACATATCAACCATTTTAAAAATTCCACTAAAGCTATACAGAGCCAAATTCCTAGTCTTTAGGACATTTAACATAATAATAAAGCTAAAAAATATAGTGTTCTCCAGAAAACGATTGACATTTCTGTGAGAATATCAAGGATCAATCTTAAAAATACCTAATTCTCTGATTCAAGCAAATGGACAGTTCTAAACTTTTGATTTAAAAGGAGCTACAAAAAATTTATTGATGTCAAAAAGAGTAATATTGCAGTGTTTCTTTAGTAAACGGTTGTTTTTTATACGACCGCAAAAAAATTTGGTGGTCGTATATTGGTATGACGTCGTCCGAGGACACATTGGTTTTCGCACTCTAACTTTAGTTTAAGTGAATGGATCTCTATGAAATTTTACCATAAGGTTCAATACCACAAAAGGAAGGTTGGGATTGATTTTGGGGGTTATGGTACCAACAGTTAAGGAATTAGGGGCCAAAAATAAGCATTTTTGTAACTTCCAGACATAACTTGTGTGTAAGTTTATGGATCTCTCCGACATTGTTCCACAAGGTTCCATATCACAAAAGGAATGCTGGGATTGATTTTGGGGGTAATTGCCTCAAAAATTTAGGAATTAGGGGCCAAAAAAGGGGCAAAAAACAAGCATTTTTCTAGTTTCATGACAATAACTTGTTTGTAAGTGTATGGATCTTTCTGAAATTGTACTACAAGGTTCCATATCACAAAGGGAAAGCTGGAATTGAGTTTGGGGGTAATTGCCCAAAACGTTTAGCAAAAAGGGGCCAAAAATAAGCATTTTTGTCGAGCCTGCGACTTTTGTCGCAGAAAGCTCGACATAGGGATAGCGATCCGGCGGCTGCGGCGGCGGCGGCGTTAGCTAACTTCTTAAAAGCTTTATATTTTAGAAGATGGAAGACCTGGATGCTTCATACTTTGTATATGGATGCCTCATGTTACGAAGTTTCCGTCAGTCAAATGTCCAATGTCCTTGACCTCATTTTCATGGTTCAGTGACTACTTGAAAAAAAAGTTCAGATTTTTTGTAATGTTAAATTCTCTCTTATTATAAGTAATAGGATAACTATATTTGGTATGTGCGTACCTTGCAAGGTCCTCATGCCCGTCAGACAGTTTTCACTTGACCTCGACTTCATTTCATGGATCAGTGAACAAGGTTAAGTTTTCGTGGTCAAGTCCATATCTCAGATACTATAAGCAATAGGTCTAGTATATTCGGTGTATGGAAGGACTGTAAGGTGTACATGTCCAACTGGCAGGTGTCATCTGACCTTGACCTCATTTTCATGGTTCAGTGGTTATAGTTAAGTTTTTGTGTTTTGGTCTGTTTTTCTTATACTGTATGCAATAGGTCTACTATATTTGGTGTATGGAATGATTGTAAGGTGTACATGTCTAGCTGGCAGGTGTCATCTGACCTTGACCTCATTTTCATGGTTCAGTGGTCAAAGTTAAGTTTTTGAGTTTTGGTCTTTCTTTCTAATACTGCATGCAATAGGTCAGCTATATTTGGTGTATGGAATGATTGTAAGGTGTACATGTCTAGCTGGCAGGTGTCATCTTACCTTGACCTCATTTTCATGGTTCAGTGGTCAAAGTTAAGTTTTTGAGTTTTGGTCTTTTTTTTCTAATACTATATGCAATAGTTCAACTATATTTGGTGTATGGAAATATTTTATGATCTATATGTCAGTCACGCAGGTTTTATTTGACCTTGACCTCATTTTCAAGGTTCATTGCTCAGTGTTAAGTTTTTGTGTTTTCGTCTGTTTTTCTTAAACTATAAGCAATAGGTCAACTATATTTGTTGTATGGAAGAATTGTTAGCTGTACATGCCTGCCTAGCATGGTTCATCTGACCTTGACCTCATTTTCATGGTTCATTGGTCAATGTTTAGTTTACTTGGTTAATGTTAAGTTTATGTGACAGTTGTAATAAAGCTTTATATTTAGGACTATCAACATAATATCAATGATTAGTAAAGAAGGCGAGACATTTCAGCGTGTGCACTCTTGTTCTAGTTTCCAGACAATAACTTGTATTCAAGTGTATGGATCTCTCTGAAATTGTACTGCAATGTACCATACCACTAAGGGAAGGCTGGGATTGATTTTGGGGGTAATTGCCTCAAATTTTAGGAATTAGGGGGCAAAAAGGGGCAAAAAACAAGCATTTTTCTAGTTTCAGGACAATAACTTGTGTTTAAGTGTATGGATCTCTCTGAAATTGTACTGCAAGGTTCACCACAAAGGGAAGGCTGTTATTGAGTTTTGGGTTGATGAATCATAAGGGGGTTCAAAAAATTGGGGGGGGGGGGGATTTTTTTCCCCTTTTTTTCCTTTTTTTTTCTTTAAAATTTTCCATTTTAAATTGGTTATTTCTGATTTATATATAAAAGCAAATAAAAATGATATGGTTTGAATAGGTAAATGAAAATTTTCTTAGACCACATTCATTCTGTGTCAGAAACCTATGCTGTGTCAAATATTTAATCACAATCCAAATTCAGAGCTGTATCAAGCTTGAATGTTGTGTCCATACTTGCCCCAACTGTTCAGGGTTTGACCTCTGCGGTCGTATCAAGCTGCGCCCCAGCGGAGCATTTTATTGTATATTATTTTAGATTGTTGACATGTGTTCATCTTCATATATCCTGTCTTTTCCAACTAATTGCTCTTATTAATAGAATGAAATAATTTTAATTATATACTTTTTTTTATATTTATATCTATCACTACAGGCTTATGCTTAATGACTGCATCTAATTAGCTTTCTTTTAATTTTTTAGGTGCTAGAAATCCAAGGTTTGATCCCACAGCATACATAAAAGATCAAGAGAGAAAGAAAAAAGAAATTAATTTAAAAAAGTAAGATGAAGAATATCTATGCAAAAGCAAGAAAGAAGATCACCTATATGTAATGAACCTAAAAGTTTGTCTAATTGCCAAGTCAAAAATAAAAATGAGCTGTTGTCTTAACTTTTGACATATTAGGCATAGTAGTCAATAGGATTTTCGCATACTATTACAAACTTTTGTTCCTATCTACTGACCAATGTGGGACTTGTGGGTGCCATTGTTAGACTTAATTTTGCTGTCTGTTTTCTGAACAGGTGGTATATAGTGATGCTTGTTCCTTTGTTCATCTGTCTGTTCATCCTCCGGTTCAACTTTTTTGTATCTGCAATTACTCTCGAAATGCTTGTCAGAATTTCAGAAACTTTCACAGAATCTTAATAATATGATGCACTTTTGCATTTCTTCATCCAAAGGACTTTTGGGATTACTTTGCCTTGACATTGACTTTGTCATATCCGTACACATTTGTATGCTTATAAATCTGAATCCCTAATCAGAATTTGATTAAACTTCTTAGAATCTACACCATATAATACCATTGTGCACCTCCAATTTACTTTTTTTATCCTAATTATTTTGGGTTCCCTTATCAAATTATGAACTTTGCAATTGTTTTATCTGGTTACCTGTTTTGTATAAGAAAATCCTCTTTAATACTTTATTAAAATTTATTTTTAAAAACTCTCTTTTAAACTTTTAACCATATTATCCCATTGTGCACCTCATATTTTGTTTTAGATAAAAATTATATTTGGGATTTCCTTAAACAAATTGTAGACTTTGCCATTGCTTTATATAGGGGCATGGGGTATCATTTTTAACCGGATTTTCGAAGGAAATATTGGTTATTAAAATGGTTATGGCGGGCGGCTGCCAAACAGTGTCCGCACAATAACATGAAAACACTTTAACAATTTTTTTTCAAATTTAAATATGTTGTTTCCTGGGACTTAATGAAGGTCTCTATTAATTTTCAAGATTTTAGTATAACTCCTTTGTGAGTTATCTTCATTTTTAATATCCAAAAGTAGAATTTTTAAATATTTTACTGGTGTTATCTTTTTATGATTTGTCTTATCTCAGAATAAAAATTGGAGTGACAGATTTATTTGAAAATTATCTATTTCCTAAGTGGTAATGATTATAAGTTAACCCATTTCTCTGACGTCAGTCTATTGTTCTAACTGTAGATTATTTTTCAAGAATCCACTGACCACTGTATTAACTTAAGAGAACTTATATTATAACTTTAAACTTTTAACTTACGATCTTTTATCCTCTCAAAAACGAGTGGCATGTGTATGATTCGAAACCGCACGTATTTTCTTCATAACCAATAGAGTCTTCAGTCTATGCATGATACCACTAGACCACGATGGCTGACATCAATCAATTTCTGAATAGTACTCTTAAAGTGCTTAATTGTCAAATATTTTAGCATATGATAATCATTGGAGTGAGAGATTTTTTTGAAAATTTACTGTTTTCTGATTGAAATATAGGGGAAGTCCATTGTGGTAACCCCAACCCCCCTTTTTTAGCTCACCTGGCCCGAAGGGCCAAGTGAGCTTTTCTCATCACTTGGCGTCCGTCGTCCGTCGTCGGCGTTAACTTTTTACATTTTAACTTCTTCTAGAGAACCACTGAATGGAATGAAACCAAACATGGCATGAATGTTTCTTATGAAGTGCTGACCAAGTGTTGTTACTTTGTAGCCGATCCATCATCCAAGATGGCCGCCAGCAGGGGACTTAGTTTAACATAGGACCCTATGGGAAATGCATACAAATGACTTCTTTTAGAGAACCACTGAATGTAATGAAACCAAACATGGCATGAATGTTCCTTATGAGGTGCTGACTAAGTGTTGTATCTTTGTAGCCGATCCATCATCCAAGATGGCCGCCAGCGGGGAACTTAGTTTAACATAGGACCCTATGGGAAATACATACAAATGTCTTCTCTTAGAGAACCACTGAATGGAATGAAACCAAACATGGCATGAACGTTACTTATGAGGTGCTGACCAAGTGTTGTTACTTTGTAGCCGATCCATTACCAAGATGGCCCCAAGCGGGGGACTTAGTTTAATATAGGACCCTACGGGAAATGCATACAAATGACTTCTTTTAGAGAATCACTGAATGGAATGAAACCAAACATGGCATGAATGTTCCTTATGAGGTGCTGACCAAGTGTTGTAACTTTGCAGTCGGTCCATCATCCAAGATGGCCGCCAGCGGGGGACTTAGTTTAACATAGGACCCTATGGGAAATACATACAAATGTCTTCTCTTAGAGAACCAGTGAATGGAATGAAACCAAACATGGCATGAATGTTCCTTATAAGGTGCTGACCAAGTGTTGTTACTTTGCAGCCGATCCATCATCCAAGATGGCCGCCAGTGGGTGACTTAGTTTAACATAGGACCCTACGGGAAATACATACAAAATGTCTTCTTTTAGAGAACCACTGAATGAAATGGAACCAAACATGGCAAGAATGTTCCTTATGAGGTGTTGACCAAGTGTTGTTTCTTTGCAGCCGATCCATCATCCAAGATGGCCACCAGCGGGGGACTTAGTTTAACATAGGACCCTATGGGAAATGCATACAAATGTCTTCTTTTAGAGAACCACTGAATGGAATGAAACCAAACATGGCATGAATGTTCCTTATGAGATGCTGACCAAGTGTTGTTACTTTGCAGTATGTCCATCATCCAAGATGGCTGCCAGCGGGGGACTTAGTTTAACATAGGACCCTATATGGGAAATACATACAAATGTCTTTTAAAAAACCACCTAATAGAATGGAACCAAACATGGCATGAATGTTCCTTATGAGGTGCTGACCAAGTGTTGTTACTTTGCAGCTGATCCATTATCCAAGATGGCCGCTAGGGGGGGGGGGGGCTTAGTTGAACATAGGACCCTATGGGAAATACATACAAATGTCTTCTTTTAGAGTACCACTGAATGGAATGAAACCAAACATTGCATGAATGTTCCTTATGAGGTGCTGACCATGTGTTGCTACTTTGTTGCTGATTTACTGTTCAAGATAGCCACCAGGATATTTTATTAAATAACGGGACCAATATTAATCCAAATTTGGCCTCAATCATTATTATTTGGGTATCTGTTATGATTTTTATCTATCTTTACATGATTTCTAAAACAAAAGTAGAGTCAGGTGAGCGACACAGGCTCTTGAGAGCCTCTAGTTTTGATAACTTGTAAATGGTCAAGATTCCCACCCAGAAACCATATATATTCTTGTATGGGACAATATATCAAATCAAATGAAATATAGGGGAAGTCCACGGGAGTAAACCCTACCCCCTTCTTTTTGAAAACTTGTAAACGGTTGAGATCCCCACACCTAAACCATATATGTACTTGTATGGGACAATAAATTAAAGCAAATTAAATTTAGGGGAAGTCCCCTGGGGTAACCCCTACTCTCCTTTTTTTTGAAAACTTGTAAATGGTCAAGATCCCCATGCAGAAACCATATATATTCTTGTAAGTTACAATAAAACAAATGAAATGAAATAAAAGGTGAGTTCCTTGGGGTCATTCGCACCATCTTCCTGTTTAAGATCTTGTAAATGGTTGAGATCCCCGCCCCTAAACCATATATATCCTTGTATGGGACAAAAAAACAAATCATATGAAATAAAGGGCAGGTCCCCTGGGAAAATTAATCAGTTTGTGTGTGTTATATTTGAACATAAATTAAATATATATAGGGTTCTTTAAGTGCTGAATCTAAACTTGTTTTTAATTAGATAATAATCTATTTTTATTATGAGATAAAGTTTTTGACATTGATAGATAAGTTGCAAATCTGTATTATTTTTTGACACATGAAAGAAACAATATTAGCAACTATTAATTAAATTTGATTATAATATGGAAATAGATATAACATGATATCTGATTTTAGAGAAGTATTTTGCTGGTTTTTTATTGGTTTATGTAAATAAGTTTGAGTTATTTGTTTTGAAAAGTGATGTGTTTAATTGATAGATATAAAATCATATCTAATTTTAGAGATTTATGAGTGGTTAAGTCATATCTAATTTTAGAGAATTATTTTGGTGTTATGTTTCTTGTTTTTTACTGGTTTATGGAAATAAGTTTGAGTTATTTGTTTTGAAAAGTGATGTGTTTAATTGAAAGATATAAAATCATATCTAATTTTAGAGATTTATGAGTGGTTAAGTCATATCTAATTTTAGAGAATTATTTTGGTGTTTTGTTACTGGTTTTTTACTGGTTTATGGAAATAAGTTTGAATTATTTGTTTTGAAAAGTGATGTGTTTAATTGATAGATATAAAATCATATCTAATTTTAGAGATTTATGGTTAAGTCATATCTAATTTTAGAGAATTATTTTGGTGTTTTGTTACTGGTTCATGGAAATAAATTTGAGTTTTATCTTGTAAATGGTCGAGATCCCCACCCCTAAACCATATATATTCTTGTATGGGACAATAAAACAAATCAAACGAAATATTGGGGGAGTCCCCGGGACCACCCCCACCCCCTTCTTTTTGAAAACTTGTAAACGGTGAAGATCCCCACCCTGAAACCATATATATTCTTGTATGGGACAATAAAACAAATCAAATGAAATATAAGGCGAGTCCCCTGGGGGCTACCCCCACCCCATCCTGTTTGAGAACGTGTAAACGGTCGAGATCCCCACCCCTAAACCGTATATATTCTTGTATGGGACAATAACACTAATCAAATGAAATATAGGGGAAGTCCAGGGGCTCACCCCCCTTCTTTTTGATAACTTGTAAACTGTCGAGATCCCCACCCCTGAACCATATATATTCTTGTATGGGTCAATAAAACAAATCAAATGAATTATTGGGGAAGTCCATGGGGGTAACATCCACCCCCTTCTTTTTGATAACTTGTAAACGGTCGAGATCCCCATCCCTGAACTATATATATTCTTGAATGGGACATTAAAACAAATCGAATGAAATTGAGGGGAAGTCCCCTGGGGTAACCCCCACCCCCCTTCTTTTTGAAAACTTGTAAATGGTCAAGATCCCCACCCTGAAACCATATATATTCTTTTATGGGACTATAAAACAAATCAAATGAAATATAAGGCGAGTCCCCTGGGGGTCACCCCCACCCCATCCTGTTTGAGAACTTGTAAACGGTCGAGATCCCCACCCCTAAACCATATATATTCTTGTATGGGACAATAACACTAATCAAATGAAATATAGGGGAAGTCCAGGGGGTCACCCCCCTTCTTTTTGATAACTTGTAAACGGTCGAGATCCCCACCCCTGAACCATATATATTCTTGTATGGGTCAATAAAACAAATCAAATGAAATATTGGGGAAGTCCATGGGGGTAACATCCACCCCCTTCTTTTTGATAACTTGTAAACGGTCGAGATCCCCACCCTGAACTATATATATTCTTGAATGGGACATTAAAACAAATCAAATGAAATTGAGGGGAAGTCCCCTGGGGTAACCCCCACCCCCCTTCTTTTTGAAAACTTGTAAATGGTCAAGATCCCCACCCTGAAACCATATATATTCTTGTATGGGACAATAAAACTAATCAAATGAAGTAAAAGGCGAGTCCCCTGGGGTCACCCCAACCCCCTCCTGTTTGAGTACTTGTAAACGGTCGAGATTCCCACCCCTAAACCATATATATTCTTGTATGGGACAATAACACAAATCAAATGAAAATATAGGGGAAGTCCATGGGGGTCACCCCCACCCCCGTCTTTTTGAGAACTTGTAAACGGTCAAGATCCCCACCCCTAAACCATATATATACTTGAATGGGACAATAAAACAAATCAAATGAAATTGAGGGGAAGTCCCCTGGGGAAACCCCCACCCCCTTTTTTTTTTTAAACTTGTTTACGGTCGAGATCCCCACCCCGAAACCATATATTTTCTTGTATGGGACAATAAAACAAATCAAATGAAATAAAAGGTGAGTCCCCTGGGGTCACCCCCACCCCCCTCCTGTTTGAGAACTTGTAAACGGTCGAGATCGTTACCCTAAACCATATATATTCTTGTATGGGACAATAAAACAAATCTAATGAAATATAGGGAAAGTCCATGGGGGTAACATCCACCCCCCTTCTTTTTGATAACTTGTAAACGGTTGAGATCCGCACCTTTAAACCATATATATTCTTGAATGGGACAATAAAACAAATCAAATGAAATTGAGGGAAAATCCCCTGGGGTAACCCCCACCCCCCTTCTTTTTGAAAACTTGTAAATGGTCAAGATCCCCACCCCGAAACCATATATATTCTTGTATGGGACAATAAAACAAATCAAATGAAATATAAGGTGAGTCCCCTTGGGTCACCCCCACCCCCCTCCTCTTTAAGAACTTGTAAACGGTTGAGCTTTTCATTATTAATAAGATAATACCACATTGAGGTCCAAAGGGTCCTAAATTAAACTTTTGTTTAATTTCATCAAATATTGAATTCTTTGGTTCTTTGATATGCTGATTCTAACAATGTTTGAGTGTTATTTCATGTCTAATTTTAGAGAACTTAGTCATCACTGGTTGTTTGTTATTGATTATAATTTGAAAAATTGCATCATATCTTATTTTAGAGAACTATTTATCCAGTTTGAGTTATTTCCATTTGCACAGAAAATATTATGGATAAAATTAGCCTGTGTTTCATTTTAACATAAATTAAATATATATATAGGGTTCTTTCAAATGCTGAATCTAAACTCTATTTAAATATTAGATTTTTAGGCCCAGTTTTCAAGTTGGTCCAAATCAGGATCCAAAATTAATTTTGTTTGATTCAACAAAAATTGAATTTATGGGGTTCTTTGAAATACTGAATCTAACCATATATTGAGAGATTTTGGATTGTGGGATCCTTTATCAAATTGGTCCACAATGAGGGTCAAAGGGTCCTAGATTAAAATTTTGTCTGTCTCTGATTTCATCAAAAATTGAATTCTTGGGGTTCTTTCATATGCTGATTCTAATATGTACTTAGATTTTGGATATTGGACCATGATAGGTATTTAAATGTCCAATTTCAAATATATCAGTTCTTTGACTACATTCATTTTGTGTCACAAACCTATGATGTGTCAAATATTCAATCACAATCCAAATTCAGAGCTGTTTTAAGTTTAAATATAGTGTCCATACTTGCTCAACTTTTCAGGGTTCTACCTCTGCAGGAAAATCCGGTTTGCTGTCTCTCTGACAGCCTCTTGTATTTGTTTGTTATTACAATGCCTATTAATGTTGCCATTTTTTGTGGAATTTGTTATTGTAGATTTCACCTTAGATTGTGGCGTATGTTTTATTCCTGTTCCTGTAACTGAAGCATATACTCAAAAATTTTTACCAAAAAATTTTATGTTCTAAAAAGACATTAATCTTTTTTCTATAACAGACAGAGATCATCAAGATCAAAAACCTCAGGGAATTCTGTCAAGACAAAAGCTTCACCAAGAAGTTATATAAATTATAGTCAATTATCAGGTAAGATATTTATGGGAGGCTATTATTTTTTGTTCAAACATATTGGAATAAAAGTAATGAATATTTTAGTAAATGTACAGAGACAATAATCTGTGGTAACTGTTGGGTCATAAATAATGAGAATTATCTTGCACTAAAGAGAAAGCTCAGGAAATTCTTATGAATAGAGCTCAAATGACCATAGTAGAGGTTATGTAAAAACCCTACAGAACAAAGAAATATCAGCACAAGCAGCCGTTGATAGCATATTTCTGCTCTTGACAGGCTGAAACAACTGTTATTGCAAACACTGAAAATACAATCAGTAAACCACAAGTTGGAAGTATATCATTAAGAACCATAACAAACCAGGACAATATATACATAACAACATCTTTAATAGTACTACTGAATTTTCTCACATTGTTGGAAGCTTGATCCTTAAGTGACTACATCATGTCTAATTAAAATAAATACTTTTAGGGATCTTTGAGTTACAAGTATTTTGACTACATTTTATAATAAATTTGGGTAAATTATAAGGTGGTTAGTATAAATCATTATCACTAATTATTGTTTTTTGTCTTTTGATTATATACATGCATTAGTTTGAACCATATCTAATCTTATTATTTGAATAGAGTAATACAATAGGAATGCTCACAGTAGCTGAATGAGAGCTTAAAAACCCTGTCTTTTTGTTTTATGGATCATGATTTTGTCAAACCTGTTCAAAATGCATAGAATTCACGGTTTAATATCAATCTTAAAATATAAAAGAAATTCATAAAGGGTGATCTCACTCAATTTTTAAAAAAGTACAATAGAATCCAAGCCAAAATGTTATTTTTGTCGAGCCTGCAACATTTTTATAGCGAAAGCCAGACATATTGATCCTAGATTTTGGCTTCGGTGGCGTCAACATTAAGGTTCAGTTTGTGGTTAAATTTTTTTAAGACAACAATAACTTTGTCAAACCTTCATGGAATTTTATTAAATTTGAACAGAAGCTTGTTTATGACCAAAAGACAGTATCCAGAGCAAATTTTTGAAAATATTTATTTTCATTTTTCTGTATTTTACTGATATTTAAAGGTTAAAGTTTTTCGGTCATCAATAACTTTGTCAAACCTTTTTTCCTTATTTAACTGAAAAAAGGACTTAGTTTTTTTTACAGTTAACAAGTAGATACAGTCTGTGGTTAAAGTTTGTTACTCATCAATTACTTTGTCAAACATTCATACAATTTTATGAAACTTTGGCAGAAGCTTTTTTATGATTAAGAGATAATGTCTGAAGCAAAATTTTGAAAATATATTATTTTCATTTTCATACTTTTCTGATAGATGGACGTAGTTTTTGTCGAGCCTGCGTTTTTTGTCGCAGAAAGCTCGACATAGGGATAGTGATCCGGTGGCGGCGGCGTTAGCTAACATCTTAAAAGCTTTATATTTTAGAAGGTGGAAGATCTGGATGCTTCATACTTTGTATATGGATGCCTCATGTTACGAGGTTTCCGTCAGTCAGATATCTAATGTCCTTGACCTCATTTTCATGGTTCAATGACTACTTGAAAAAAAAGTTAAGATTTTTTGTAATGTTAAATTCTCTCTTATTATAAGTAATAGGATAACTATATTTGGTATGTGAGTACCTTGCAAGGTCATCATGCCCGTCAGACAGTTTTCACTTGACCTCGACCTTCTTTCATGGATCAGTGAACAAGGTTAAGTTTTGGTGGTCAAGTCCATATCTCAGATACTATAAGCAATAGGTCTAGTATATTCGGTGTATGGAAGGACTGTAAGGTGAACATGTCCAACTGGCAGGTGTCATCTGACCTTGACCTCATTTTCATGGTTCAGTGGTTATGGTTAAGTTTTTGTGTTTTGGTCTGTTTTTCTTATACTGTATGCAATAGGTCTACTATATTTGGTGTATGGATTGATTGTAAGGTGTACATGTCTAGCTGGCAGGTGTCATCTGACCTTGATCTCATTTTCATGGTTCAGTGGTCAAAGTTAAGTTTTTGAGTTTTGGTCTTTTTTTCTAATACTATATGCAATAGTTCAACTATATTTGGTGTATGGAAATATTTTATGATCTATATGTCAGTCACGCAGGTTTTATTTGACCTTGACCTCATTTTCAAGGTGCATTGCTCAATGTTAAGTTTTTGTGTTTTGGTCTGTTTTTCTTAAACTATAAGCAATAGGTCAACTATATTTGTTGTATGGAAGAATTGTTAGCTGTACATGCCTACCTAGCATGGTTCATCTGACCTTGACCTCATTTTCATGGTTCATTGGTCAATGTTTAGTTTACTTGGTTAATGTTAAGTTTATGTGACAGTTGTAATAAAGCTTTATATTTAGGACAATCAACATCATATCAATGATTAGTAAAGAAGGCGAGACATTTTAACGTGTGCACTCTTGTTTACAGTTAACATTTACAGACAGTCTGGGATCAAATTTTTTTTGACATAATAAATGTGTAAACCTTCATAGATTGTTATGTAACTTGGACAGAAGCTAAACTTCAAGACCAAGAAATAGCATCTATAGAAAAAGTTTGAACTTTTTTTAAATTCTGTATTTTACTGATAAATGGACTAACTTTTTAGGTCAACATTACACTTTTACACTGACAGCAGCAATTGCAGGCGAAACACAGGGTTCTGCGGAACCCCTTACAAATTTGTTTCCAAAATGAAGATGCTTTTGAAAGAAAACATTCACTTTTGATAAAATCTCATAATTTTTTTCAAAGTAAAACTAAAGAAATTTTTTGCCACCATATTTCATTTTTGTAGCAAGTGTTGTGATCTTTCTAAATTTTATTTTTGACTGATCAACTCTGAGTATATTTATTGATAATTTATGCACATGTTAATGGCGAAAAAAGCAAATATAAAGGGGCATTAGCTGTCAAACTCATGTTCACCCATTTGACTCAATTTCTCATATTTGATGAATAACATACTAAAACGTATATCCAAATTATAAAAAGTTGCAATCACTTGCAAGTGAATAATTCATCAGCAATGTTTCTTAGCTTATTTTGACAAAATTGAACCAAACTGGCTGCTAAAAGCAAATTATTATTTCACTATTTCACAAGGTTGGGCGGTATTTACCGCCCCCGGTATTTACCAGTGGTATTTGCCGCCCCGGACAATACTCCCCAAGTGGTCAATACTGGCAAATACTGGTCAATTGAAATTTTCATGCTTCTTATGACTGACTTATCTATCAATTTTAGTAAAAAATTGGTTGATGAGGGAAAACTTTATTCCTTTGACATGATTCAGTTTATAAAAATGAATGATATTGGTATGTTATTAATTATTAAAACATTATAAATTACTAATTTAGTTCTTAGGGGTAATAATATTGCATACTTTTGGTATACATATAAAATTGCTATATCAGTTATTTTAACATGTATAAATCAAGATATTTTTATTTTTTTCTTGAAAAGGTTTGAATTTTACAGGTAAATAGAATTACAAGTGACTAGCAATATAGATTATCAGAGCATTACCTAGTATATGGCTAACAGGTGTCAAAAGTTTAATTACTATAACAACTGTCCCCTAACAAATGTTGACATAACAGGAAAAAAGTCATAAAAGTGATTTCTGAAGATTGTTTTAAACAATGAATTAATTCCTGACTATTCAACAGCATGATAAAAATCTTCTAAATGCAGGAAATGGTTTGTTTTTTTTAATAAATATATAAAACAATTTTTTTTTATTTTTTAATTGCATCTTTCAAAATAACTTAAGAAAACCAGATGTTATATAGTCTCTTTATAGAGACTGACTTCATGGTGTTAATGACTATATCTGTTGTTTGAATTGATTTAATTAATATTTGATAAATCTTCATTAAACCATGTTTCATGAACTAATTAATTGTAAATTTTTGTCCTAGTACAATGTAGTAAATAAGTGACTTTCTGCCTTGTGACTATATCTAGCCATTTACCAAGTAATTGACCTGAGGTAGGGACTAGTTTTTATAGTAAAATCCTATCAAAATTTCAATTGACCAGTATTTGCCAGTATTTCCCGGTATTTACCGCCGGCATGGTCAATACTAGTATTGACCGCTTTTTTGCCAACCTTGCTATTTCACTTTCATTAATGATTGAACAAAATAAAATCATATTTTGATATTTTTTATATCTTGTAGCTAATGCCCCTTTAAAGAATACGGTGTATACTATAACTTATAAAGTCATTGACTTCCTCCTTAATCTTATTTAATTTGTAAGTGTAATGTTTTCGGGGTATGGGTCAGTTGTCTCTTGATTGTGATTAAAATGAAAAAAAAATGTTTGTTCTTATTCTGCAGGGGGCAGTAGAAATAGATCTCGGACATCATCATGTAAGTTAAATATTTTGGAATAGATATAGAAAGTATTGAAAATTACATAAAAACACTTTGTAACATCAAAGTATAATTGAGATTTCAATTCTAATCATATGTTACTGAAATAAATGTCTTCTGGTTTGCTGAAAACCAAAACTTTGGGAAACCAAATACATGAATTGATGAAGGTCAATTTTGTTGAAGTTGCAAACTTAGTTTTAGTTCAGTTACATGATTTTTTCTTGGAAAATTTTAAGTCTTGATTTATCATTTAAAACATGCCAGTACAGAGACACTGGCTACTGAGTGATATAAAATTATGCAGTTACATATCAGGATTTTACAATTATTTCTTACCTGATTTTCCATTCATAAAATCATTAGTTAACAATTAAAATGCAATAAACTATATAAAAAAGTTCTGAAACATTCATTTAAAAAAGTTATCTTCTTTGAAAGTTCCCTTCAAAAAGATATTATTTCATGTATACTATAAGGACAACTGCTTTACTGTAATGGTTTAATCCCAATTTAGTGATGCACTTGTTTTTAAATTTTCTCAGTTCATATTACACATGTATGTCATTACAGTAGGCAGTCAAGGTGAATTCAGTGATGGTGGATTCTCTGACTCATCCTATTCAAGACTGCGAACATACAACCGAAATTCAGTTCGGTCATCAAACAGGAATAATCGATCAGCAAATTCATATATGTCAAGCCCAGATATTGTAAGTTAGATTACCTGAGATTGTATAGATCAATTAAGTAATATATTAAAAACTTGTAATAACCGTTTATTGTAGAGCCAGCAACATTTGTTGTGGAAGCAACACAAAGTGATCCTACATTCTGTTGTCAGAGTTTCAACATTTATGTTCAGTCTGTGGTTAAAGTTTTTTTGGGCCATCAATTACTTTGTTAAACCTTCTTGGAATTTTATAAAACTTAGACAGATGTCTGTTTATGATTAAAAGACATTATCAAGACTAAAAATTGTTTACTTTTTACACATTGTGACTTGTATGGATAGTTGTCTCATTGGCACTCATACCACATCTTCTTATTTATATAAAAAGAACTTATTTATTATTTATTTTTCAGTAGAAATTATGAAAGAGAAGTTTTTTTGTCATGTGAATTTCTCCCTTATTATGAATAATAGGATTTATGGGTTCCTTGCAGGGTTTACATGTCTGTCAGACAGGGTTCACCTAACCTCGATCTCATTTCATTTATGAGGTCCGTTTCTCAAATAAGTTGTTGTAAGCAGTAGGTCAACTATATTTGGTATATGGAATGATTATAAGGTGTACTTGTCAGTCTGGCAGGTTTCAACAGACCTCATTTTCACGGTTCATTGGTAAATGTTAAGGTTTGTATTTTGGTCTGTTTTTCTTATGCTATAAGCAATTAAGTCAACTTTGTTTGGTGTATGGAATGATTTTAAGAGGGAATTGTCTGTACGAATGGTATCTTCTGTCCTTGACCTTATTATCATGGTTCATTGGTCAATGTTAGGTTTCAGTAGTTCTTCTAAGATACTATAAGCAATAGGTCAACTATATTTGGTGTATGGAATGATTGTAATGTGTACATGTCTGCCTGACTTGATTTAACTGACCTTGACTTAATTTTCATGGATCATTGATAATGTTTAGGTTTGTGTGATACTCAAAGTAGAACTTTGTCTTTAGGACTAACAACATAAAATCATCATGGATAGTAAAGCAGATGAGTCATTTCAGCGTGTGCACTCTTGGTATATTTGTGTTTAATTATAGCCAAGTCTGTAAAGATGTAAATATCAGTGAAAATACACCTACGTCATGTAATTGTAGTAATTCCGAATACACTTATGGCCCCATTTCCCATGTTATAACAGGAGACCTTAACATTGTTCGCGACCGAGAGTTAAAATCATTCCTCAGTAAAAGACCTAAATATCGTCCCCGGTCAATTATTAATTGGAATGAGTGCCATAATATCATCCACGACTCACTTCGTGCTTACTGTTTGAAATGGATAAAACGGGAAAAAGCTGACAAAAAATCTTTGGACTCTTTTTTCAATTCAGTAATGAAGATAGTTGATATACATATACAACATTTTAAAGAACATTTTACTCTTAACAACAACCATAAAAATCCTATTTCTCGTATCAAACATAAACTAAAAGAACTAGCCAAGGAATTTGTTTTTGTCCCGGCTGATAAAGCTGCTAATAATATCATTATAGTTTGATGTAAATTTTACATTGAGGTTCTAGTCTGCAAAAGGAAATCACGAATTCACCAACATTCCAACTGACTTCATTTTCAGAAAACGATATCTGTAACAAACATAAACTATTAGCTACTTCTTTACAAGCAGAACCAAATACAATGAAAGTCCCAACTATGTACTGGCTTCCGAAGCTACACAAATCACCTTACAAATATAGATTTATTTCGTCTTCAAGTCATTGTTCCACTACTAAATTGTCTATTCTACATACTAGTACACTTGGTACAATCAAAAACCTGATAATAAATTGTTCAAATAAGGCCTTTGAAAATAGTGGAATTAATTACTTTTGGAGTGTCAAAAACTCGTTGGAAGTACTTGATAAATTGCATGCATATATTGGTGATTTTGAATCTGTTCAAAGTTTTGATTTTTCTACCCTATATACCACTTTGCCTCATATTCTTATTAAGAAAAAATTCACACACCTAATTAAAGTGGCATTTAAAAAGTCGGAATGCGAATACATATGTTCAAACTCTTTTAGGTCATTTTTTAGTAGCAACAAACAAAAGAACTATGTCAATTGGACATGCTTTGATACTATATCTGCCCTTGAATTTTTACTTGATAACATTTTTGTTCGCTTTGGAGATTCCGTATATCGTCAAGTTATCGGAATTCCAATGGGGACTAACTGTGCACCACTTATTGCAGACCTGTTTTTGTATTGTTAGGAGTTACAATTTATGACTAAAATCAGCAAAGACCCATCGAAACAACAACTGTTAAATAAAGCAAATACTAACAATGACCACTGTCCTTTCCTCGATCTTGATATCTATATCATTAACGGGAAGCTTAATACAAAAATTTATGATAAAAGAGATGATTTTTCATTTCCTATCGTTAATTATCCATTTTTAGATGGTAAAGTTCCCTTGTCACCATCTTATGGTGTTTATATATCTCAACTTGTACGATTCGCTCGTGTATGTAACAACATATTAGATTTTAGCGAGAAAAATTTATGTATTACTGAAAAATTATTACACCAGGGTTTTCGATATCATAAACTCTTCAAAACATTTACTAAATTTTATCATCGGTATAAGGACATCATTCGTAAATATAACTCAACATGCAGACATCTTATACGTTCGGGTATTTCACATCCAATCTTTTATGGTAATATTCTTTACAAGGCACAAAAATGTCAGTATTCACCTCAAAAGCTAACAAAACCTTTAAACAGACTTATTAAGAAGGGATATAGTTACGATACTGTTGTCAGGTCATTAAAGATTGCATATTTTGGCTCTAATATTGATTCACTTATAGGGTCTTTGCATCGGAATTAAACATATATATTCTAAAACCAGTTGTTGGCATGACACGGGTTATGTTCTTCTCATATATTTTATGATGGTATAATACTAAACCCCTAACAGGAGGGATTGTGCCTGATATTCATATGATGAAGACATAATCTTTTAATCAGTTTAATTGAGGTCTGGAGCTGGCATGTCAGTAACTGCTAGTAGTCTGTTGTTATTTATGTATTATTGTCATTTTGTTTATTTTCTTTTGTTTCCTATTCTGACATCGGACTCAGACTTCTCTTAAACTGAGTTTTACTGTGCGTACTGTTGTGCGTTTGTTTTTTCTACATTGGCTAGAGGTATAGGGGGAGGGTTGAGATCTCAAAAAACATGTTTAACCCCGCCTCATTTTTGCGCCTGTCCCAAGTCAGGAGCCTCTGGCCTTAGTTAGTCCTGTATCATTTTTAATTTTAGTTTCTTGTGTATAATTTGGAGTTTAGTATGACGTCCATTATCACTGGACTAGTATACATATTTGTTTAGGGGCCAGCTGAAGGACGCCTCCGGGTGCAGGAGTTACTCGCTGCATTGAAGACCCATTGGTGGCCTTCGGCTGTTGTCTGCCCTATGGTCGGGTTGTTGTCTCTTTGACACATGCCCCATTTCCATTCTCAATTTTATCTTCTATATTTTATTCATGAAAATATCTGTAGTGTCTTGGGTATTCAATGAACTTTCAGTGATTTTTATACGACCGCAAAAAAATTTTTGTGGTCGTATATTGGTATGACGTTGGCGTCGTCGTCGTCATTGTCGTCGTCGTCCGAAAAACACATTGGTTTTCGCGCTCTAACTTTAGTTTAAGTGAATGGATCTCTATGAAATTTTACCACAAGGTTCAATACCACAAAAGGAAGGTTGGGATTGATTTTGGGGGTTATGGTACCAACAGTAAAGGAATTAGGGGCCAAAAAGGGGCCAAAAATAAGCATTTTTATACGACCGCAAAAAAATTTTGTGGTCGTATATTGGTATGACGTTGGCGTCGTCGTCGTAGGGAATTAGGGGCCAAAAAGGGGCCAAAAATGAGCATTTTCTAGTTTCCAGACAATAACTGTGGAACGGTGTATGGATCTCTCTGAAATTATACTACAAGTTTCCATACCACAAAGGGATGGTTAGGATTTGCTTTGGGGGGTTATGGCTCAAACCGTTTAGGAATTAGGGGCAAAAAAGGGGGAAAAACAAGGTTGTCCTGGTTAATGGACAAATACTTTAGTACAAAACATAATTTAAAGCAGTGTAAGGGAGATAAATCAAATACATCATTGAAATTATCTCCCTTACACTGCTTTTAAATTATGTATAAAGTAATGGTTAATGAACAATAAAGATAATCTAAAACAGTGTAAGGGAGGTAATCCAAATACAACGTTTTGGTTACTTCCCTTACTCTGCTTTTAAATTATGTTTAAAGAAATGCATATTTATAAAGGAAGACCAGTAAAAATATCTGCAAATGTTTTCATCTTTTTTTTTTACAAAAAAATCCATATGAAAGATTTGACACTATATTTTTATTAATTCTATTATAAAATAGATTAAGTTAGCACTATGGTAAATTTAAATGGGTAATTATGGTTGCCAACTCCATTGGAAATTTGAATTGAGATTATGACCATATCTTGAGGGAAAGAATTTTTTTGGGGGAAAAAGGGGGGGGGGGATAAAAAGAAATTGTGGGGGGCCAATTTTTTCTCATTTCAGATTTCAGAAATTAAAAAGAATTATTCTTCAAATATTATTTTTTTTTCAAATTTCAAATATTGAAAAATTTCAAGAAGTAATCTTTAATTGCACAGTATGGCGCATTAGATTTGTAAAATCTTTGATCACATTTATTTATTTGTTATGCCGAATCTAACAGTGTATTTAGATTTTTAATTTTGGGTCCAGTTTTCAAATTGGTCTACATTAATGTCCAAAGGGTCCAAAATTAAACTTTATTTGATTTTAGCAAAAATTGAATATATGAGGTTCTTTGATATGCTGAATCTAACCATGAATTTAGAATTTTTATTTGTGGGCCCCGCTATCAAATTGGTTCATATTGAGGTCAAAAGGGTCCAAAATTAAACTTTGTTTGATTTCATCAAAAATTGAATTATTGGGGTTCTTTGATATTCCAAATCTAACCGTGTATTTAGATTTTTAATTTTAAGTCCTGTTTTTTAAATTGGTCTACATTAGGGTCCAAAGGGTCCAAAATTAAACTTAGTTTGATTTTAGCAAAAATTGAATTCTTGGGGTTCTTTGATATGCTGAATCTAAACATGTGTTTAGATTTTTGATTATGGGCCCAGTTTTCAAGTTTGTCCAAGTTGGGGTCCAAAATTAAACTTTGTTTGATTTTAACAAAAATTGAATATATGGTGTTCTTTGATATGCTGAATCTAACCATGTATTTTGATTTTGGACATTGGACCATAATAGGTAAATTAAAAAAATTCAAGTTCTTAGACCACATTCTTTCTGTGTCAGAAACCTATGCTGTGTCAAATATTTAATAACAATCCAAATTCAGAGCTGTATCAAGCTTGAATGTTGTGTCCATACTTGCCCCAACTGTTCAGGGTTCGACCTCTGCGGTCGTATCAAGCTGCGCCCCAGCGAAGCATTTTATTGTAACTTCCAGACATAACTTGTGTGTTAGTGTATGGATCTCTCTGACATTGTACCACAAGGTTCCATATCACAAAAGGAATGCTGGGATTGATTTTGGGGGTAATTGCCTCAAAATTTTAGGAATTAGGGGCCAAAAAAGCGGCAAAAAACAAGCATTTTTCTAGTTTCATGACAATAACTTGTGTGTAAGTGTATGGATCTTTCTGAAATTGTACTACAAGGTTCCATATCACAAAGGGAAAGCTGGAATTGAGTTTGGGGGTAATTGCTGAAACGTTTAGGAATTGGGGGCCAAAAAGGGGCCAAAAATAAGCATTTTTTTAGTTTCCAGACAATAACTTGTGTTCAAGTGTATGGATCTCTCTGAAATTGTACTACAAGGTACCATACCACAAAGGGAAGGCTGGGATTGATGATGGGGGTAATTGCCTCAATATTTTAGGAATTAGGGGCCAAAAAGGGGCAAAAAACAAGCATTTTTCTAGTTTCAGGACAATAACTTGTGTGTAAGTGTATGGATCTTTCTGAAATTGTACTACAAGGTTCTATATCACAAAGGGAAAGCTGGGTTTGAGTTTTGGGGTAATTGCCCTAAATGTTTAGGAATTTGGGGCCAAAAAGGGGCTAAAAAACACATTTTTCTAGTTTCCAGACAATAACTTGTGTTCAAGTGTATGGATCTCTCTGAAATTGTACTGCAAGGTACCATACCACAAAGGGAAGGCTGGGATTGAGTTTGGGGGTGATGAATCATAAGGGGGTTCAAAAAATTTGGGGGGGGGGGGGGGTTTTTTTACCTTTTTTTTTTTTTCCTTTTTTTTTTCTTTTAAAATTTTCCATTTTAAGTTGGTTATTTCTGATTTATATTTAAAAGCAAATAATAATGATATGGTAGGAGATACACACCAAACAGGATGTGTAAATTATTATATAATAAGTATTGTGCAATAGCAAGAAATTTTCAATTGCACAGTATTGCACAATAGCAAGAAATCTTCAATTGCACAGTATTGCGCAATAGCAAGAAATATCCAATAGCACAATATTGCGCAATAGCAAGAAATTGTCAATTGTACAGTATTGCGCAATAGCAAGAAATATTTAATAGCACAGTATTGTGCAAAAGAAGATACTTCATATAAATTGCTTATTTCTTGACCAATTTCAATGGGGTTTTATTCTTGAATTCTTGGGGTTCTTTAATATGCTGAATCTAACCGTGTATTAAGTTTTTGGATTTTGGGCCCCGTTTTTAAATTGGTCCACATTGAGGTCCAAAGGGTCCAAAATTAAACTTTGTTTGATTTCATCAAAAATTGAATTATTGGGGTTCTTTGATATGCCGAATCTAACCGTGTATTTAGATTCTTAATTTTTGGTTTCATTTTCAAATTGGTCTACATTAAGGTCCAAAGGGTCCAAAATTAAACTTAGTTTGATTTTAACAAAAATTGAATTCTTAGGGTTCTTTGATATGCTGAATCTAAACATGTATTTAGATTTTTGGTTATGGGCCCAGTTTTCAAGTTGGTCCAAATCGGGGTCCAAAATTAAACTTTGTTTGATTTCAACAAAAATTGAATATATGGGGTTCTTTGATATGCTGAATCTAACTATGTATTTAGATTTTTGATTTTTGGGCCCCGTTATCAACTTTGTCCACATTGAGGTCAAAAGGGTCCAAAATTAAACTTTGTTTGATTTCATCAAAAATTGAATTCTTGGGGTTCTTTGATATGCTGAATCTAACCATGTATTTAGATTTTGGATATTGGACCATAATAGGTGAATGTCCAATTTAAAATTTTTAAGTTCTTAGACCACATTCATTCTGTGTCAGAAACCTATGCTGTGTCAAATATTTAATCACAATCCAAATGCAAAGCTGTATCAAGCTTGAATGTTGTGTCCATACTTGCCCAAACTGTTCAGGGTTCGACCTCTGCTGTCGTATTAAGCTGCGCCCTGCGGAGCATTTTATTTTTTCTGGATAAGTTTTATGATTATATAAAAATTAGTTTTATTTATCTGAATGAACTTTAATATGTTAGGAAGCTATATTTCACAACTGTTGTTTAGCATTTTTCATTCATTTTTCCTTACATTCATTCAAACTATCATTAGTTGTCACTAAGGTCTGTTTTTGTTAGTTATAATTAAGGAGTAGGCACGGTAAGACCCCTTTCTGGCCCCAAAATATAGCACTTTTATAAATTTGTTAAAAATGTAAACTTTAAGCTAATAATTGGAAAGTAGAATATTTTTGTTACATAAATATAGGCTGTTTTTGACAATACAATGCACATGCATCAGGTACTAACATTGTTAATTCAGGCAAAATTACTAAAATCTTTACAATTTTAGCATTTGCGCTAATTTTTTTGACGGATTTGGTCTAAAATGGAAGTGGCCGCACTTGTGTTCAGTCTTAATATTTAAATATATGTTGTATTTGATGATAATACATAACATATATAAAGGTTGAGAGACTGAACACAAATGCGGCCACTTACATTTTAGACAAAAACCATCTGAAAAGTGACGTTATATGGCATATTTGATAGATTTTCATATTTTTAAGCTTAAATTTGAGCGACTTTAATGACCAAATGATCAGTTCAAATCATTTACATAAACTCATTGAATCGACTGAAATAGACACTTAAGTGTTTAAAAAATGTCAAAAATCTTTCTTCAGATGTACTTCAAATTTTAGGCCAAAGTTAGCCCTTACCGGACCTTTTCCTTTATGATTTACTGTAAATTCAGAAGTTATTGCGAGGTTTTTATTGATACTAATAATGCAACTGGATAAGTATAGCGATAATAATAACTCACGTTCTGATATCAGAAAGATATATCTGTATGCAGCTTTTCTGAAAATCACAATAATCAATCTCGCATTTTTGTTCATTCTAATAAATACATGCAATAATTTCTGAATTTACAGTAGTTTAATTTATACTAAGGTAGGAAAAATGTATATTGATGGTATGTAACTTTTTTAATATTATTTTACAGCCACAGAAAACAGTAAGCAGAACAAAGAATAATGTAAAAGAATATCCTTTTTTTAAAGTATACTTAGGTTAAATAATGAAATGATTTTAGTTCTTCCCTTCACATTTATAATGATTTATTACCCACAGAATATTTATTGCATTTTACCCACGTTGATCCTCAGAAAAAAGGAGCAAAAAAAACTTGTCAATGGTTGACATTGCAGTCTTCTTAAGTTTTAATTTCAATATAGATCAACGTAAATAATTATACCCCCGCTTTAAAAAAGTGGGGGTATACTGTTTTACCTCTGTCTGTCCTTCCGTCAGTCCATCTGTCAGTCCGTCCGTCCGTCCCATGAATATTTTCGACGCATTTTTCTCAGGAACTACTTGACAAGGGTTTCTGAAATTTGGTTTCAGGGTTTATATAAGTAAGTTACAATGTGTGATGCGTTTTCAGATTCATCACTCAACAACTTCCTGTTTACCGAACACTTGTATTATTTTACACATGATAGCCAAGTTGAAAATTTTCGTCACATTTTTCTCAGGAACTACTTGACAAGGATTTCTGAAATTTGGTTTCAGGGTTTATATAAGTAAGTTACACTGTGTGATGCTTTTCAGATTCATCACTCAACAACTACCTGTTTACCGAACACTTGTATTATTTTACACATGATAGCCAAGTTGAAAATTTTCGTCACATTTTTCTCAGGAACTACTTGACAAGGATTTCTGAAATTTGGTTTTAGGGTTTATATAAGTCAGCTATACCGTGTGATTCGTTTTCAGATTCATCACTCAACAACTTCCCGTTTACCGAAATATTTCGGTGGGGGAATCACCAGTGAGCAATAGCTCACAGTTTTACTTGTTCCTTCATCTATTCTTGCTTTAGAGTGTGAGTTTAGTTTCAACATATTTTATTTACAAAAGTAGCAAAAGAGATTGGACACAAGTTATAACAAACATTAGTGACTTCCTAGTCTGACTGAGTACAGTTGAACAAGTACCGGTATGTTGATGTATATTTAAAGGTTTTTTGAAGACCTGTAAGGAGTGGCAGTGAACATCCATCTAGTTTTAATACCTAGTTAAAATATTATGCAATAGATGGCAGTAAAGGGTAGGGAGATTGTGTTATATATTTTGGAATAAGAAGCCAAAAGTAGGGATGGGACTGAAAGTTGAGGTGTGAAGTAACCTTGTCTGTGTCTCTGCCTTATTGAGTGAAATCAACTCTAATTATTGATGTCTTTCTGTCTGTGCTGTTTAACCAGTATTACTTTGTTGAATACAGTGAATAAATGTATTGTTTGTATGTGAAATTGTAAAAATGAAATTATTTGTTGTCTTTTGGGGATCTTACAGACTGAATATTTCTGTTTCTAAAACTTCACAAAATTGAAGAAGTTTTAAAACCAATCAGGATATTTCAGTAACCCATTATGGTTGAAACGACAAAATTAACTTTATATATTTTAGCCGGTCATATAATTTACAGTTGTAGACTTTATTTGTATCAATTGTACTGTATATTCTTCTCCAATCCGAGGATCTTTAATGTCAATAAAATGTTGTATTTGCCTTAACTATACACTCCATTGTCAAGTACACCTGACAATGATTTCAGAACTAAACGAAAGAGAAGTGTCAAGAACAAAGAAAACTATGTAGATAGTGCAGGTATACATTTGCATAGTCTGTTGAAGAAATTAACCTTATATCAGATAACAAGTATACACTGTGATATTAGTGACATACTCTGTGACCTTTATATGGCATTATTCTGTAATCCATTAAATAAACAAATGCAAGAACCTTTTGAACTAAAGCATCATTTACTTCCCAAATGTTTACAGTAAAAACTGTTTTATTCAAAACATTAAAAAGTTTATGTAATTTCAGTTTGTAGATTTTTAGTTTACATGGTTAATAGTATCCTCTAAGCAACATATCTTCAATCATTAGGAGCAGTTTATATGAAATGAACACAACCCAACAACAACAAAACTAAACAGTATCTCAAGGTCAGCATAAGGTCTTCAGCAATAGACAAATGTTTATGCAATATGTCAAAATCTAATATTGTGGAGAGATATTGATAATGAATTTAATAGAGATGATCAAAGTCTGCCATTAACACTGAATTGCCTGAAGACCATCAAACATTAAGTACAACTAAGTACAATGATTGACAAAATTCCAGACTTGAAACAGGCACATAATCATTAGGCATGATTTTTTTTAGATCTTATTCTCAATCAGTGGAAAAACAAACACCAGCTAGAAAGCTGAAGGATAAAATAAGTTTAGAAAGGATTTTCACTCTATAACTGTGGTAAAACTGATGGTAAAAAAATGGGTACTAGTAAAACAATTATAAATAAAAGAGTATCAAAGAATGCTTACAGATACTGAAATTAAGCTGAACATATAAAAATCATGCTGTCCTACATTCTAATATCAGCAACTGTACTTATTAACTGATTTCACTTAGAAAGATCCTAAATAGTGCAGGAAGACATGATCCTGTGCAATGCCCATAGTTTATTTGTACAGAAAAAGAAACATTTCTGTATTGTTTCAACATAGAAATTAGTAAATTAATTTTAATCCACAAAATAACCCCAAAAAATAAAATCAACAACAGTATGTATTTAAACTGTTCATTGTTTCCTCAAACTCATATCATTTAGAATAGAAAAGAAAGGATATGGGGTATCCATCGATGACACAAAATCAGAACATGCACAGGAAAAAACACAAAAAGCAATAAATATGGTATTTTTCACCATTTGTTCATCAAAAGTATTTTTATTTATTCTTCAGTATAATTCGGTTATTGATATTGGAAGACTTTCTGACATTATTATAATGTATTGTAGGTGAAGATAGTGACTACTATAATGGATCTGCTGAGATTTCTGAAATTGATGCTAGACTTAGTAAACTTCAACAACTTATGAAAAGCAGTATAGACTGAGTTTGGAATATTTATATTTTGGTTATAACATGTATAAGTAGATGCTACTATAAAAACTTATTTGTACATGTACATGGATGTTCATGTCATACTTGTAGAATCTTGTCTACTATATCTTGGCCAGATAATAAAATCTTCATCAGTAGTTACTGCTGATTTTAATAAAATAGTATAAAAGTGTACTATTTTATTAAAATCAGCAGTAACTACTGATGAAGATTTTATTATCTGGCCAAGATTTCGCTATACAAAAGCTTCAAAAATGCCAATATGACTGAAATTATTTATTGGATGACACCTTAAGAAGTTATTGCTCTTAAATGACGATTTGTGACTAATTTTTGTGATTTTGAATGATCTCGAAAACTGTAATTGATAAGTACAAACTGTGCACTGCAAAAACAACCATAATACTATATCTACAAAAATAAGACAACTGATTAGAATAAAGGTAGAATTTAATATAAAAATGATATATCTTTACCTGGTGAGCGCTTCAAGCTCTTAGGAGACCCTTGTTATCGGAACGCCATAGGATAGTTTGGTACCTTTTCCTTTTGGTTTCCCTATAAATATAATTATTGCTAGACAAGCAATGTTAGATTATTTATATAAAAAATATTACTTATATAATACAACTGTGGACCATTGATGTTTTGCTATGTGTGTAGATAAAATATATTATTTATAAACTGTTTTAATCATACAAAATTGCATTTAACTTGAATGTATAGAAATGAATAACCTTGAATGACTAAAAATTATCTTATTTAAATACTGTTGTGATGTATTTTTATACGACTGCAAAATTTTTGTGTTCGTATTATGTTATGGCGATGTCTGTGTCGTCATCCGAAGACATTTTGGTTTCCAGACAATATGTTGAGTACAAGTCTATGGATCTCTATGAAATTGAAGCACAAGGTTCCATACCACAATAGGAAGGTTGGGATTGATTTTGGGGGTTATTGTCCTTGCTGTTTAGGAATTAAGGGCCAAAAACAAGCATTTTTCATGTTTCAGGACAACAACTTGTGTATAAGTGTATGGATCTCTATGAAATTTTACCACAATGTTCCATACCTCAAAAGAAAAGTTGGAATTGATTTTGAGGGTCATGGCCCAAACAGTTTTGGAAAAGGGGCCAAAAATTAAGATTTTCTGGTTTCCAGACAATAACTTTAGTATAAGTCTATGAATCGCTATGAAATTGTACCACAAGGTTCCATACCAAAAAAGGAAGGTTGTGATTGATTTTGGGGGTTATGACCCTAACGGTTTAGAAAAAAATGCCCCAAAACAACAAACCAATTTTAATGAGGTTTAATTCAACGTCTTGAATTTCTGGGGTTCTTTAATATTTTGAATCTAACTGTATTTAATGAGCCCTTATTCCTTCCCTATTAAACCTGGGACAATGGTGTAACAGAACAACATAAGGACAAACACTAAATATCAATTATAAAGGACTTGACTTATCTGATTGGAACAAAGCACAACAAAAACCTTAAAAAAAAGGCAAAACAGGATGTACAGATCTAAGAGTACCCACAGTTACTGAAAACTAGTTCAAAGCCATTTTAAACTTACCGTAATCGGCCATGTATAGTACGTAGTTGTGTATAATACGCATCGCATTTTCATTCCCCAAAAATCGGGAAAAAAGGTCTACTTAAAAAACTTTTTTTTAGATAAGTATTAAAAAAAAGCTAAAAAGAAAAGATAAAAAAGTCTAGTTCACTGTAAAAAGGCTTTGATAGGGAATTATTAAACCATGTATTTAATCTTCATTAAAGTCTATTGAAAGAAAAAAATAATATAGAAGATTGTTTGTTCAATCAAATCTTTTTTTGTAATATTTTTTGTTTAATTAATTTAAAGTCATAAACAATGAAATGGTAGAGCTTTTATTATGTAATTAAAATTTATTTATAAAAGTAAATTTTTGAACACCTGTAAAAAGATCCCTTTTTAAAATCAACATTTGTCTAAGCTTGTCCAAGCTGGTGCACTGTTCAAATATTATAAAAGAAATAATTGGAATATTATGGAACAAAAGAAAATAGAGATCAAACATTTATCTAAATTGATTTGCAGTTAATAATATTATAAAACTCTTTAATCCTATATTTTCTTTGCATTGCTCATGTTGATTTGGAGCCTGAGGTTATTATATTGAACACCTGTCAAAATTTTACATGATTATTTAATTGCTACACACCCATACTTTTATTACCCCTTTAGATTATTCATGCAAGATGTCACACCTGTACTTTGAATATTCAATAATGAAGTAAAAAGTTTTAAAAAAATAGAAATAAATGAATAAAATAAAAAAAGGTCTCAAATTTACAATAATGAAGAAAAAAAGATATTTAAAAAATTTTTTTTTTTTGTGATAAATTCGAAACCTGTCTACACTTTTATGTAATACGCACCCCCTGTATCAACTAATTAAAATGGATTAAAATGTGCGGATTATACACGACCAAATACGGTAGAATAAACCACGTTTTCAAAGACAAAAATATCAATCAGTACGCATCCTAGGGATTTAAAGTTAAGAGGTCATAAACAGCGAGAAAAGCCTGACCGTGTGCTTTTCCATATTATCAGTATCTAGAGGATGTACAACCATGAGGGTGCGGGATTTTCTTGCTGTGTTGAAGACCCATTGGTGGCCTTGTGCTGTTTTTCAGCTCTTTGGTTGGGTTGTTGTCTCTGACACATTCCCCGTTTCCATTCTCAATTTTGTAAGTGTATAACAGTACATATTAAGTTATTCCTTAATTTATTTTAAAAGAATCCATGTAGGTACCAAACTTTTATCAAAAAGAATGGTAGTAGAAAACGGCAAAATCACGACTACTCAAACATTAACATATAAACAAAATGATTCTGCTGGTATTGCACAATTATCTTCTCTCTTTTTTTGTGGAAGATATTATTTAAGACAAGGAGTCTTATAGAAAGCAATCAAACAGCAAATTTACACAGGTATCTTAAGGGCAGAAATATGATATTATCCATCACTTCATACAATAGGCGGATATCTAATTCATAATAAAAACGATTGCTGATGAGACAACTATCATGCAAACTTTCTTGTGTTCATGACCCCCTATTCCTTTAGTGTTACATGGTGTTTATTTACATCAGGATACAGATGTTCAAGAATTTTAAAATAGATTTTATAGGTTCATATCATGCAAACCTTTATACTGGTATAGGTTTCGATTTCCGTTAAAACCTAGTTTATGTGTAAGTGATTTAAATCATCTGAATGAAGTACTAGTACTGAATGTACATCTTGAGTCTAATAAACTGGAATTTTAGGGAGTATTCATTATCTGATAACGTGAGGTTGTCATATCAAAATATGATGATTTTGTCTCGCCTGCGAAACCCTAGGGATTGCAATCCAGTGACCGCATCAACTATTTGTATAAAACTTTATATTTCATGGGATAGAAGACATGTTTGCTTTATACCTTGCATACAGCAGATGCCTTATGTTACGAAGTTTCCGTCTGTCCTTGACTTCCTTTGCATGGTTTAGCGACTGCTTTTTTTTGTCATGTGAATTTCTCACCTATTACTAGTAATACGATAACTATAATTTGTATGTGGGATCCTTGAAGGTCTACATGTCCGTCAGACAGGGATTACCTGATTTCGATCCCAGTTTATGAATCAGTGACCAAGTCCGTATATTAGACACTATAAGCAGTAGTTCAACTATCTTTAGTGTATGTAATTATTGTAAGGTGTACATGTCTGTCTGGCAGGTTTCATCTAACCTTGACTTCATTTTCATGTTTCAAAATTCAAGGTTAAGTCCGTTTCTTAGATGCTATAAACAAAAGGTTTACTATATGTGGTGTATGGAATGATTTCAAGGTGTATACATGTCTGTCTGGCAGAGTTCATATAATACTGACCTCATTTTCTTAGTTCATTGGTCAAAGTTTAGTTTTCTTGGTTAGGTCTGTCAGATACTGTAAGCAATGGGCTAGCCCATATTTTGCGTACGGAATGATTGTAAGGCTTATGCGTACATCTTAGAGGCTCTTGTCTCGGAATTGTTTTTGTTTTTTTCCTATATACAATGTACCTTTATATACACAAGGTACCCATCTTGCTTTTTTTTAAATGACACTCGGTCGCGAACATTCGCTATATTACGAATCTGCGGTCGTTTGTCACACTGACACTGACACTTATAAATCTGGGTACAGATATCTACAAATTGGTGTTGCATACCTTTTGTTTGAATCATCCCAAGGAGGCATTCTTCTTTAGTTTATATACAATATTCTATCGACATCCGATGATTACATACTGTTGCATACGTGGACTATTTATTACATTTTACCCCCAAATTCAACAGAAAATAATTATTTAATGCAATAATGATAACAATTTTGTGATTAAAACTATGTACAATCTTTAAGTTATGCTATTAAACAATAGTACAGAGAACAATAAGAGTGAGCTGTTCACTGAAGCTAACAACTGATGGTGTATGAACAAGTACTACAGGAAGCTGATTCCACTGTGGTATTGTGTATGAAAGTATGAGTGTCTGTATGAGTCCTTGGATGTATATACATGCTTGTATGTGACTGTATGGGTTTTCCTGGTTCTTGAGTCTACTTGTATTAGTGTGTCAGATGGAATAGCACCAATTAAGATGATATCTTGTACATCATTACCAATCTTGTGCGTAGCCTACGTTCTGCTATTCACTGATGGTAAATTTGTTGCGGTAAGCATATTTGTAACATTACTTGTATTGTGGTATCTGTAGCAGACATACCGAGCAGCTCATCGTTGGACAATCTCAATCTTGGATACCGATTCGGTTGTGTGAGGGTCTTAAACAGAATAAGAATATTCAAGTTTGGGTCGGACGGTGCTTGGTTTGCCTGGGTTTTTATACGACCGCAAAATATATTGGTATGACGTTGGCGTCGTCGTCGTCGTCCGACGACACATTGGTTTTCGCACAATAACTTTAGTTTAAGTGAATGGATCTCTATGAAATTTTACCATAAGGTTCAATACCACAAAAGGGAGGTTGGGATTGATTTTGGGGATTATGGTACCAACAGTTAAGGAATAAGGGGCTTAAAAGGGGCCGAAAATAAGCATTTTTGTAACTTCCAGACAATAATTTGTGTTTAAAGGGGCACTAGCTGTCAAATTCATGTTCACCGATTTGACTCAAATTCTCATATTTGATTTTTAACAATGTAAAACATTTATCCAAATTATAAAAAAGTCTAAAATAAACAATATTCCGGGCATGGGCTCGATAATATGTAGCTTCGTTTCGTGTGTATTTTAGTCTAGACACCATATAATTAACTGTCGAGTTTGATTGCCATATAAGCGATATAAACATAAATACAGATATAAATAGACAGCAGACTCGTGCATTTGGATTTTTCTAGGTCTGTTTAATTTCATATTATAGTTTAAAAATATATGTTATTCATCGTTTTTACCTGTATAAGAATGATTTTTTTGTGGATCGAATCAGTCAATCAAATGATTTACCTTTTTCACTTTCAATGTTAACATTCTTTTCCTTTAAATAATTGAACACGCACAATGCATGCGGTATCCATCTCTAGCCAAGGGGTTAAATTGAAGTTCACATGAATACGGATTCAATGAGGTCGAATTATTCACTTGCAAGTGAATAATTCATCCTCAGTGTTTCTTAGCTTTTTTGACGAAATTGAACCATACTGCTGCTAAAAGCGATATATTATTTCACTATTTCACTTTCATTAATGATTGAACAAAAAAAATCGTATTGTATATTTTTTTATATATCTCGTAGCTAGTTCCCTTTAAGTGTATGGATCTCTCTGAAAGTATACCACAAGTTTCCATACATCAAAGGGATGGTTAGGATTGGCTTTTGGGGGTTATCATAGGCGGATCCAGGGGGGGGGGGCTGGGGGCTCGGGCCCCCGCTTTTGTGGGAAAAATTTGGTTGATTATATAGAGAATCACTGAAGCATGACTGGAGCCCCCCCCCCCCCCCTTAGTGAGTTGTTACCCTTTACAGCCAATTCTAACGAGTGTGTAGCTAAAGGTAGAATCTTTGGTTAGCTTCCTTGCTATCTCAACCATGAAATGATTATTACCTTAAGATTGGGAGGAGCAAAGCACCGTTTTATCATCCAATGAAAACATTTATATCAATGGCCTGTTTATTATTCAATATATATTTATGTTTCATACAAAGGTTTACCTAGACTACTTTGCAAATAAAATTTCATTTCTTAGTCTTTGATTGAATTAAAAAATCTTTTTATTACAATAAATTAGAAGCGGAGTAACATTTTTTTTTTAAATATTTACGCCGTGAATAGGCAGTTTAGTTAATTAGTGTCTTTAGGTGCACGCAAAAAAACATTGTTATGGTCTTGGTGTCTTTTCTTCATATATATGCATAGTTTTTAGAACTAAAATATTTTATATTCACACAGAAAAGAAAAAAAAATATCATACTACTTAATATCATGCACGTTTGCTTTTGTGGACCTTTTATTTAGTTAAAAATGCAATGGGAAAAAAACAGCAAACAACTGCAGTCTGGAATTGAAAATATTGCAGAGTTTATGAACATCCACTTGGTCCGTTAACATTACCTTACTTATTAGTTTTAGATAAATAATGCAGCCGTGAAGAACAATTTTTATGTCTCTACTTCATTTTTAATCTGACCTAGATTGAATGATCAGGTCATATGTACATTTGGACACCTTCCAATCTTTTTTACCTGTCCGGGTGTATTTTAAACATATGTGTATGCAAAAGTGAATACGGTGAAGCACTTGTCAATCATATCCAACTACATTTTATTAACTTGATGTAACAAATTCAACAGACAAGTTAAATATATTATTATTTGTAATGTTACGAAGAAGAAAAAAATAAGGAATTTCATTGGCATAGCTTACGCAGCTTGCCTCGGTCAAAAAAGTATAAAAAAAAACTTTTTAATCTTTTAAACAATTTCCACCTTGTGCAGCAGAATCGCTACTTAATGCTAATATACCAACTTGTATCGTCTTATTGCTGTTATTGATTCATAACCTTTGCCAGTTCAAGACTGATGGAACATTGTCCTCTCCTTATTGGAGATCGCCTTTGCGGTAGTTTTCAGTAATATAGATATGTCGGAGTCAAAGAAATTGACAAAATTGAAGCAAAAAGATTTATTTAATCCTACCCCATGCAAAATCAGTAAAATAGATGATGATCCAACTCTCGAGCCTTTTCCGATCAAATGTCTTGACCAGTTCAGGAAATTATTATATTTTTTGTGAGAAAATAAGTTATAGTACATAAGGATCTGGTTGCGGTTTACAGAATACAGAAAAATGTTCTGAAATTAATTTGAACTTAAAAGGAATAGAGATATTTTTTTAAAAAGTTGCTAAAATATCAAAGAAATGAAATTATGGGCGAAAAGAATTAACAATAAATACTTGAAGACCACTTTCCAAACCCTCATATATATAACCGGTAAGGTATAGTTGTGTGTTGATATTTCCTCCTACGTGTAGTACTCCAATAACCGTCAGAGATTCATTGACTTTGATACCAATCAAAATAAATATACATCATTCAACATGCACAGAAAATTATGTGCATTTTGGTCTCAAGTTTTATTCTTGCTATTTCAAATTAAGTGTTTCACTAGCAGGGAATTTTAAATATTTAAAGGAGTCATTAATTTAAGAGACATATATGGTATTAGTCTGATAGTTCATACAGATATCAGTTTATATATTAAAAATTTCAACTAAATACGGACTATTTATTCTGCAGACTTCAAAATAGCGTAAATATTTCTTTTTTTCATTCCCCGGTTGTCATTTTCACCATTGGAAAAATTTCAAAACCATGTAAGAATTTGAAGACATTCCAAGATATATCAGGGCGAAACACAACCAATAAAAGTGATGTGGTGCATGAATAAACGAATACATGATCATCATCTTAATCTTTTTGTACATTGAAAATTTTGTGCAGGCTTCTGCTGGCCATCGAACAAGGTCTTTTCTCCCGCCTGGTATGAAGTTATAGCTTATGTAACAATGAGGTACAGCCACTAATATTTGAGTGTGCGATGGAATTGAAAAATATCGACAGATTTTGTTTTCGAATTGACTTTCAGGAAACTTGTCAGTGGTTGTCATATGTGATAACTTTATGTTGTTCGTACAAACATAGAGAAAAGAAAAAAGTAACTTCGATGCTTGACATATATTGTATGGCCATATATATATATTGTTTGAGACCGTATGTCGACCTCCAGATGACTTATAATTTTGTTGTATTGTTGGCTTACTGTGCCATTAACGTATAGCTCATATTCATCTCCTCAAGTTTATTCTCAATGAATTTAAGATCTTGGAAGTTCACTGAAAGGATTCGATTTGAAAAAGGGATAACAAATTTTTGAGTACATTTATATACTAGTATTCATCTGAACATTGTAAATGATGTATGATAGTATGTACCAGTTATCAACTAATAAATCTATAATATAACTTAGTGTAAGGCATGCTAACATTATTATGATGAATTATATTTGAACAACCACTATCATTTTTAATAGATTTTTCTTGTTCAAATTGCAAAACCTCTATAGCCTCTGGGGAATACAGCACACTAGACCCCTGCCTCTGTAGTAACAGAGGGCAAGCTACGCCACTGAATTTCAGCTTTCAGTTAACTTTTCATCATTTTGGCAAATCATATTAACACACCTACAACATGCATGCTTGTGAATCACTAAATTTTAAATTCAGATTGAAAACTTATTTTTAAACTGACTTGTAAAACTAGATTTACAATGTTTATATTCTGTCACTTAATTCTGATTGGTTCTCTGCTTAACTATTGACTCCACCCAAAGGCTGGATGTGCCTTACCTAATAATGATTTCATGGTTGAGCTAGCAAGGAAGATTTCAAGGAAGCTAACCAAAGATTCTACCTTTAGCTACACACTCGTTGAAATCGGCTGTAATGTCAAGTCGTCTATATGTTTGACCCAGGTTTTACTGCACTGTGATACAAAGGTATTTAGCTGAGGTTACCGTGGTTATAGATTCAAGTGTGTGATTATGTAGAATGTAGCTGTACTGAATAGATTGTTTCTTTTTTGTGACAGATATTGCAGTACATTTATCTGGATGGAAAGCCACCAGCCAATCCCTCGCCCAACTAGCTGCCGCTTCTAGATCCATTTGATTTTTTCCATAAATAGTTTATTAAAAACGCCATAAAGGAAATAATTGCCAAGTACTGTCGGTAATGGGGCAACTATTTAATTAGTACTTTGCATTCTAAATCAAATCTCCCGCCTTTGATAGACCATAATTCCCTCAAATCGACATTTTTGCATAGACAGTTCATGTGATTTGTTTTCTAGAAATCCAATTAAGGAGCACGAAAGTTCTCAGTAAATGTGTGCTGGCGATTTTTTGTGTAACTAGGATGATTGTAAATCCCGAAATATTGCAGAATGCAGTTTTTAGATTTAGTTTATTCCATTTATTGGTAAGAATGTTTATAAGATTAAAGGTGTGACAACATTTACTTTATAATACATAAATGTATATAAGTTTTAATATTGTTTTATTACATGTCTATTGTCTAGTAGATTTAATATATTATTGTTCTGCAAATGTTTATAATCACATTGTTTATGTGTTACATGCCCTCCTGGGCCTTAATTTGGTGAACAAAAAAATCTATTCTATTCTATGTATAGGATATTATTATAAATAGAAGTGAATCAAATTCACGTTTTATTTTTAGAATTTTAGTATTTAAAAATAGAACAGGATTTCCCGGGTTTATTTTTAATTCGACCCACTTGTTTTTATTTCGACCCAATTGAAGCCTCTAATGACTTTCATCTTTCCACCATAACAGTTGACTTTGCCGGTTTAAAAATTATGATTTCTTGATTTGCAACGTTGCAACGTTGGACACTATAACACGAGCGTTTAATATCATTATGATCTATTTGCAAATCCTGAATCTAAATATAGAAATATGAAATCATAGTCATTTGAATTATCAATTGATAATGTGTTATTATCGGACACATTGTATGACAGTTTTTCAACCATGACATTTTCTTTAAGTCAAATTTCTACCTGGCCAAAAAAAAAAAAAATAAAAATAAAAAAGACAAAACTAAAATAGGCTAAAGAGCACATGGATTGTGAATTCTATCGAACGAAAGTTATTGCAATTTTTATGTCCCACCTACAATAGTAGAGGGGCATTATGTATTTAGGTCTGTGCGTCCGTTCGTTCGTCCGTCCGTCCGTTCGTCCGTCTGTCCCGCTTCAGGTTACAGTTTTTGGTCAAGGTAGTTTTTGATGAAGTTGAAGTCCAATCATCATCCTTAAACTATGATCTATATAGGGTCAATATTATTTCTGACCCTTCTTGTCGCTGTGGTGTTAATCGTGAAGATTCCTATAATTTCTTTTTTAAATGTATATTATATTCACACATACGAAATAAAATGTTTGAAAGTCTGCGCTGGCTTCCAAATGATTGTAAAATTAACATAGAACTACTGGTGTCTTCCCGATTGTCCCACTTTTTAAAATTACAGGTAAAAAAGTAATGAAATTTTGTGGGACAATCGGGAATATGTTTGTGGGACAATTGGGAAGCTTAAATGTGGGACAATCGGGAATTGTTTTGATAGTGATTAATTTGTTTGTATAGGGTGTAGAAGGAATAGTTACAGGTAAACAATCAGTGTACAATTGAAGTATCATCAATCATAGAATATAATATTAAGTAAAAAAACATCACATATCAATTTTTCATCCTGTCTTGTGCAAAGTCATTTATTTTCAGTTAATACCAGACCAAGTTATTCATTTTCAAAATCCTCCTCCCCTCCCCCTTTCGAAATCAAATGGTCGTCCCCTTATTGAAAGCTAATGTAAGGACGTCATCAATAGTCTTAGAAAAGTATGATCATAAACATCGTTAGTGTAAAAACTAGGATTCTACTATTACAGCATGTTTTACTAACTTACTGTATTTTGTAGAAAGTCTTTGAAAAAAGGATTATACATTCTGTATATGCCTGTCCCAAGTCAGTATCGTGCCGGTATTTGAGTGGTTGTCGTTGGTTCATGTTTGTCATAATTTTTTTGGTAAATTGTTTAGGTATTTTGGCTGTTAGTTTTCTCAAATGAATTATATAAAATTTTCCATATCGGGGCATTTTATAGCCGACCATACTGTATGGGCTTTCTCATTGTTGAAGGCCATACGGTTGCCTATAAATGCTTACTTCCACATCTCCTTATTTTTATATTATACAACTAGTACTACATAAAATTAACATTATCAATGTTCCATGTAAATGAGGTAAGGTCAGATTAACTCTGTCACAAAGACATGTACACCCTGCTACCATTCCATACACCAAAAGTATTTGACCCACTACTTATAGCATCTGAGATATGGCCTTGGCCATTGAAACTTAACCTTGTTCATAGATCCATAAAATGAGGTCGAGGTCATGTGAACGATGATGTCTGACGGACATGTAGGCATTGCAAGGATACCATATATTAGACTAGTAGCCAAGTATAGTTATCCTAGAACTTATGATAAATGAGACATTCACATGACGAAAACAAGCTATACAGTTTTTAGCAGTCACCAAACCATGAACATGAAGTCAAGGACAATGATTATATGACAGACGGGAACTTCGTAACACAATGGATCTATATACAAAATATGAGCCATCCGATTCCTCTACCCCCTGAAATATAAAGCTTTACAAATAGTTAACGGTGTTGCCGTCACCACCATCAGATTGTATTCTGTATGATAAAGAATCTTGTGTAAATGGCATCTGACTTCACTGGTAAAAGTGCAAAGACTAGTGGAAACATCTCTCCATCAACTAGTGCGTGTATAGTGTACAGCGTAATTAAGTTTTAAGTTACACTTTTCTTTAAATTGCATGGATTATATCTTAATTCATTTTAAAAACTTTCGAAAAAAAATTTAAATTAAAATCACAGTATTGATATTTGTTTTATATAAATAAACGTAAGCTTATAAATATAATTCATAAATGTTATATTATTTACTCAAAAGTGCATTAATCTGATGATATACCAAAAAAATCATATCTTATGCTTTTATAAAATTTATATTAAATAAAAGTTTGAACATGCAATAATTAATTCTTGTTTATCTAGCAAAACAAACAATATATACCTTGTTTATTTAAGAACATTTTACTTCATAAAATAATGTGGGACAATCAGAACTTTTCATGTGGGACAATCAGAACTCTAAAATTTTAAAAAGTGGGACAATCGGGAATAAACCGAACTACTAACCTCGGGCAGTTGTCTTCTTTCTCTAGAGCAAAATCAAACCATTTTTCAAAGATGTCTTCGAGTTTATCAAAAGTTCGGAAAGATTTCTAATTGTCTAGATAGCAAACAATGAACGCACACACATCATCATCTAAGTAAAAGTCTTTCTTTTTTTCTTTTTCTTTTTTTGTATTTTATTTTTATACGCCCATTTACGGGACGTATTATGGTATACCGTTGTCCGTCTGTCCGTTCGTTGTCATCATGTCGGACAATAACTCAAAAACGCTTTAACCAATTTGCATAAAACTTTGGTAAATTGTTTATATCTATTGAAGTGAGCTCCCTTTCGTTTTTTATAAATTTTAGATTTTACATTTCTGAGTTATGGGGTTTTATCCATTAAAAAAGGGGGATTTTCCAGTTTTCGGACAATAACACAAGAATGCTTTCACCAACTTGCAAGAAATTGTGGTGAATTGTTTATATCTATTGACATGAGCTCCCTTTCGATTTTTATAAATTTTAGATTTTACGTTTCCGAGTTACAGGGTTTTATTCATAAAAAAGGGGGATTTTCCAGTTTTCAGACAAAAACTCAAAAATGCTTTCAGCAGTTCTTATGAAACTTTGATGAATTGTTTTTATCTATTGATGTAAGCTCCCTTTAGAATTCTATAAATTTTACATCTTACATTTCTGAGTTATGGGGTTTTATTCATTAAAAAAGGGGGATTTTCCAGTTTTCGGACAATAACTCAAAAATGCTGTCAGCAATTCTCATGAAACTTTGGTGAATTGTTTATATCTATTGATGTAAGCTCCCTTTTGATTTTCATAAATTTCTAATATGACATTGTGAATTAATTGAACTTTATTTGTTTATAGTCTGAGAAGAGATTTACTAAGTATTGCGCAACAGCACAGTGTATTGCACAACAGCAAGAAATCTTTAATTGAATATAAATTCAATTCATATAACCAATTTCAAGTTCTTTGACTACAATTATTCAGAAACCTATAATATATCAAATGTTGAATTACAATCCAAATTCAGACCTGTATCAAGCTTGAATATTGTGTCCATTTTTGCCCCAATTGTTCAGGGTTGGACCTCTGCGGGCGTATCCAGCTGCGCGCAGCGAAGCAGTTTATTTGTTTTTGTTTTCTAAATATTCATTTATTTATTTTTTCTGCTTTTTTGTTTTCTTTCTGTCTTCACTTTTCTGTCTTTTGACATAAATCCATATATATATTATTAAATATATATACCATTCTATACATGCATGCTCATACATATATTTTGTATTATATTGCTATAAATGTTAATGGAGAAGATTTCATAAGTCTGTTTGACTTGTGTCTTATCCAATTTGTACTTGAACAAATAAAATATGTTTAGCCAAGGCTCCGTGTTGAAGACCGTACTTTGACCTATAATGGTTTACTTTTATAAATTTTGACTTGGAGGGAGAGTTTTCTCATTGGCACTCATACCACATCTTCTTATATCTATAAAACTAATCAACTCGAAACTTAGTAAACATGTTCCCTATTATATGATCTTTCTAATTTTAATGCCAAATTAGAGTTTTGATCCCAATTTCACGGTCCACTGAACATAGAAAATGATAGTGCGAGCGAGGCATCCGTGTACTATGGACACATATTCTTGTTCTTATTTGATTTGCTTATACTATTATCACTGAGGTTAAACCGATATCATTAAAGATGACAGATTGAAACTTTATGAAGATAAGTTTTCGTTTATAATTAATAAGGATCTCTCGAAATTGAGGAAAATCGGAACGTAATTGATCAATGAAAAAGAAATTGACCAGTAAAAAAAATCAAGATTGTTTCATAACTCGTATAAAAAATTCAGATCATCTGGCTTGAATTTCGTATATCGTTTTGATGATATCAATCTCGATATAAATAGTGGACAATAGTCTGATTGTCGATTACCGATTTGGTTCTGTTATTACATACTTTTAACACACTGAGTAGTTTCGTTTGCCAATAATGGACTGTTTGTATGTACCGTACAAAATTGGCTGCTGCCAATGCAAAGCATGATAAACGGAATGCGATATATAGGCGTTTTAAATCATTTCAAATGGAAAATAACCATTAATGTCAAGAATTCGTCTTAACAAAAGATTAGAAGTAATTAGAATC